CTGCTTAGGTCAGAAAAGTAGCATGTCCTTTGTCATTCTCTCCCAAACCTGGGAGGCCCCTCAGAAGACAGGCGAGCACACCCGCACCCGCTTGCAAGGCAAGGCTTCACTGCTTTCCACGCTCCCACTGTCTACACCCCGGACCCAGATTCTGATAGCTTTCCCAGGTCATCTCACAGCCAGCATCACTGGGCTTGAGCCAGTGCAGGACACAGAAGCTTCGTGAGTGCCTGGGAGAGCGTCTCCTCTGAATAGTTACATTGCTGAAATCTAGGAGAAAAGGTACAAGTTTAAAATCTGTTTACTTTATTATCTTTTTACTCCAAGGAACGTGGTTGTTCGGTTAATGTTTATTTTACTGAATAATCTCGTTTTAGTCACACCAATAATGGTCAGTGCTGCTTTTATAGGGGAGAAAAAAAACAAACAACCAACCAAACAAACAAAAACCCGCTTCAAGCAGAGGTTCCTCTCAGGTCTGTTGGTTCTACTACCACCTAGGGGCATATTCCTAGAACATGTGAGGCTGGTCACTTGCATTTGGGGCATCCACTGTAAAGTCCTGGAACCACCTACAAGAAAGGAAGGTAACCAACTGGACAGGGGTCTTCTCTGAATTTCAATATCTTAAAATAGAAAATGAACTATATGAGGGTGGGAGGATGCTACAATCAAACTATTAGCCAACCAAAGCCTAGTGTCTTTTTTTTTTTTTTTTTTTTTCCGAGACAGGGTTTCTCTGTGGCTTTGGAGCCTGTCCAGGAACTAGCTCTGTAGGTCAGGCTGGTCTCGAACTCACAGAGATCCGCCTGCCTCTGCCTCAGGAGTGCTGGGATTAAAGGCGTGCACCACCATCCTAGTGTCCTTGAACTATTCATCTCGGTTTCCAGTTGTTCTATCTATCTATCTATCTATCTATCTATCTATCTATCTATCTATCTATCTATCTATCTATCTATCTATCTATCTATCTGCCTACATTTCTGTCTGTGTGAGGGTGTCAGATCTCCTGGAATTGGAGTTATAGACAGTTAATGAGCTACCACCTGGGTGCTAAGAGTTAACCTGGGTCCTCTGGAAGAGCAGCTAGTGCTTTTAACAGCTGAGCCATCTCTCCAGCTCCTTCCAGCTGTTTTGAATGACACCCTGGTCTCATAATTCCTGTCACCGACCCAAGTGGTGATGTCAGAGCATAGGCCCGTGTTAATAGGGCACCGTGGATCGGAGACGGGACGATTGAGAAATCAGGAGGGGTGGGGCAAGTCTAACAGGTGGCAGTTAACAGAGGAAGCCAGCCACACGAACACCGGGAGAGTTGCCCGGATGGCACGCGGATGGCTGAGTCAAAAACACCAGACGGTTTTTAAGAACAAATAACTCAGCAGCAGGCAACTGAAAATTAAAATTTTACCCAATCTAGAAGTGAGTTGAGAGTGGTGGCACTCACCTGTAATGCTGTGAACTTGAAGGCCAAGGCCGGAGGAGCAGGAGATAGAGGGACAGCATGGGCCACAGAAGTCACAGGCAAAAATAAGGGCCGTAAGGCGGTCGTCCGTAAAATGCTTGCCACAAAGACACAAGGCCCTGAGTTCGATCCCCAGAGTCCACATAAAAAGCTGGGCCTAGCCGGGCGCTGGTGGTACATGCCTTTAATCCCAGCACTCGGGAGGCAGAGGCAGGTGGATCTCTGTGAGTTCGAGGCCAGCCTGGTCTACAAGAGCTAGTTCCAGGACAGGAACCAAAAGCTATGGAGAAATCCTGTCTCGAAAATAAAATAAAATAAAAATAAAATAAAAAAAGCTGGGCACAGCAGTGTGTACTTAAGAGTCCCACTGCTGAGGCGGCAGTCACAGGCAGGTCCCAGAGCCCACTGGCCATGGCAACTGAGTGAGCAGGGCTCTTGGTTGTCAACTTGACACACTTGGAAAGAGGAAACGCCTAGTCAAGAATTGCCTCCCTTAGATTGGCCTGTGGACATGTCTGGGGGAGCATTTTTTCTCGATTGTTAATTGACATAGGAAAGCTTAGCCCGTTGTGGGTGGAGCCATCTCTGGGTAGGCGGCCTGGGCTGTATAAGAAAGGTAGCTGACCGTGTGGCTACCAGACAGCCTTCCTACACGGCCTCTACTCCCTTGAGGGCCTGCTCTAACATCCCTTGACAATGACCTAAAAGCTGTAAGTCAAATAAACATTCTTCCTCCCCAGGGTGCTTTTTGGTCAGTGTTTTTATCACAGCAACAGAAAGCAAACTAGGACACGTACCTATGAGGTAGGTTAAAATGTAGACTAGAGGGCTGGGTGGTGGTGGTGCACAACTTTAATCCCAGCACTTGGGAGGCAGAGACAGGGTGGATCTCTGTGAGTTTGATGCCAGCCTGGGCTACATAAAAAGACCCTATTTCAAAATAAACAAAAGAAGTGGTTGGACCATGAATTGATTAATGTTGATCATGACAAGGCTTGAGGTCCATGTCTCTTATGCAATCTACCTCTCTTTATATCTACCTACCTATTTATTTACCTACCTACCTACCTACCTACCTACCTCCATCTATCTATCTATCTATCTATCTATCTATCTATCTATCTATCTATCTATCTAATCTTTCTGCCTATCTATTTTTGAGACAAGTTTGCATGTAGTCCAGGATGGTCTCATGTTTTGTAGCTGGGTGGTGGTAGCACACGCCTTTAGTCCCGGCTGTCAGTTTAAAGCCAGTTTTCTGTGGTTTGTTAACCCTGAAACAAATTTCTAATCTTCTTCTTAGGAGAAACTTTCTAGGGGTCTCGGAAAAAAGTAAAAACAAAAACAAATCGGGCATGCTTTTCACAGTTTCAGGGCCAGCCTGGTTTACAAGAGCTAGTTCCAGGACAGCTAGGGTTGTTACACACAGAAATCTTGTCTCCAAAAACCAACCTCCCCGCTGAGACAGGGTTTCTCTGTGAAACAGTTTTCTGGAACTCTCTCTACACCAGACTAACCTCAAACTCACTGAAATCCACCTGCCTCTGCCTCTCAAGTGCTAGGATGAAAGGTGTGTGCCACCATCAGCTGGCTAATCTTTTTCTTTTTTGAGACAGCATCTAACGATGGTGCAGCCCTGGCTGGCCTGGAATGTGCTAAGTAAACCAGGCTGGTTTTGAACTCACAAGACCCATTTGCCCATCTGCCTTCCTCTCCAGCTGAGATTAATGGTGTGCTACCAGCTGGATGATATATAAAAGTCTAAAGGATAAAAAGGATTGAAAAAGCCTAACACTCCTGCTTTGTACATGTGTTATTTTCTGTGATTACATGGAGGTGTGTATCTGCACTGGGCATGTGCACATGAACACCAAGCACATGTGGAAAGCCAGAGACACTGGATCCCAGGAGCTGGAGTTACACACATCTGTGAGCTACAGATGAGCCACCTCTCCAGCCTCCTGTTATAACTCTTGACTTCTGATGGTTAATTTGGATGTAAATGAAGGTCAAATACAACTTTAGTTCTTCAACTTTATCAAACTGACTGTACCCCCAGTCTTTGTTTTAAGTACTTCTGTTAGCTCACTGGGTCACACTTTTCCTTAGTCACTGCTCATACTCTCTTTTCTACATTTATCTTTGGAAAACACTTTGCTTTTACTAATGCGTTCTGATTTTTACATACCAATTTTTGTTTGTGTGTGTGTGCTTGTGCATGTGGTCAGATGGCAATCTGCAGAAGTCATTCTCTCAGCATCAGACCCAGGCTGGTGGGCACAGCAGTGGCGGGGGCAGCAGCGGCTTTACCTGCTGAGCTGTCTCTTTGACCCTAGACTATTTTATCTAGATAATATAAATCCCATAATAAAATTCCCTTATGCATTCTGTAAAACTGAGTAACAGCACCCATCAAGAGAGTCCCCAATCAAATACAACCAAGTGTGTTTGCAATGTTTTAGAAAAGATCACATTCTATCCTAATTCATATTCATACACACATATATAAACACACACACACACATATTTACAAAGACAAGAACTAAGACTGAGTCTCAGCACACTGGCTTGGCTGAAAGGATCCTAGTGCTTCCGCCCTGTGCAGTGGGAACTGCAGGCATACAGCACCACAGTTGGCTTTAATTCTTCTTTCCAAACACTTCTCATTAATCTGCCACATGTTGTTGAAGTCAGTTTAAGAAAGAGCCTTCTTCGGGCTAGAGAGGTGGCTCAGAGGTTAAGAGCACTGGCTGTTCTTCCAAAGGTCCTGAGTTCAGTTCCCAGCAACCCCATGGTGGCTCACAACCATTTATAATGAGATCTGTTGTCCTCCCCTGGTATGCAGACAGAACAATGTATACACAGTAAATAAATAAATCTTTAAAAAAAGAGCCTTCTTCTTGGGGGGGGGGGAGAAGGCTTCCCTTTGTAGCTCATGCTGGCTTGGAACAATGTAGCCCAGGCCGGCCTCAAACCTGTGTTCCCCCACCAGCTGAGTGCTGGTATTACAGGCATGTCCACCACAGTGAAATCCAGCTTGTCATTTATTTGTGTGTGGCATTAGGAACCCGAGCCAGGACCTTGCACATAGGAAGGTGAGCACTCTGTAACGAGCTATAACTCAAGTCTAGCATGTGACTTCTAACAACCACGTAGAGGGTATTTTGTTAGTCAAGAGGTTAGAACACAGAGGGAGAAAATGTGTATCCACACAGGTAACTTTTGCTTTTAAATGTTCTTTTTAAAGACCACAGCACACCCAGGCATGGTGGCGCACGCCTTCAATCCTAGCACTCTTTTGGGAGGCAGAGGCAGGCGGATCTTTCTGAGTCCAGCCTGGTCTACATAACCAGTTCCAGAATTAGCAAAGGCTACATGATACCCTGTCTAAAAAAAAAAAAAAACCACAAACCATAGCAACATCTTATGTTTTAAAACACCAACATTTAGGTCACTTTAAAATAAAATGACATGCATTATTTTCTACCAGAAAATCGGGTATTTACATGCATGGAGCATCGTAAAATAACAGGAATCTTTTGGAAATAAACACACATTTTCTTTATTTATTGTATAAGTTTGGCAAACAGCACAAAAATCCAGCAACATTTTAAACATGTAAAAAAGTCAAATGTTAAACAGTACTGAGTATAGTTTTAAAACATTAGAAATAATGAGTGCACAGTTAATATTCTGCAAGCTGGCAGAGAGAGTGCTTGGCTTCTGAACATGTACCATGACATACACATTAAAAACACAACAACATAATTTATCTTTACAAAAACCACAGCCAGGCAATAGAAAAGCACATTAATGATGAAGGTACCAGCCCACACGTGTTCACTGTGTCTTACACATGGAAACGCTACATCTCGTACCCTGAAATGCCATGTGCACAGAGCCAAGCTGAAGAATGGAGGCTCGTTGCTGAGGTTAACCATTATTTGAGGATAATAATGTTCAATTAAAACTTTCTATAGAGTGATTGCTAGATCATAATAGTGTATTTACTCCACTGCATATCTGAGAAGCCGAGACTTCTTTGTTGGCAGTATAAAATTTCTCACCAGTATCAAAATTTTGGTGAAACACAGACTGAAGGCATTTTTTCTAGTGTACGCAGATGGTACAGGGATCTACGAACAGGGAAGGAAACCTCAGATTTCACAATAAGTTTCTGCTGAGCTTTGTCAAACTAAACAGCTCAACTATAAGGCAGATAAAATAACCCGACAGCAGAAGTGGGTCCCACCAAGTAAAGACAGGAATGTCATCTTGGAAAGACTCCGACTTGAGGAGATCTGGAACAGCTGGCACTGAGAGGAGCACGTGGGAATTAACTAACACCCTAACACTCAGTCATTGGTTCAGAAGCCTGATGAATAATCTGTTGGTATATCTTACTAAATTAACTTTTGGAATCAGCACCAGTCCCCAAAACCTCAAATTATTCTTCATTAAAATGTATCCCTTTGTGCTATATGAACACAAATACTTAAGTTAAAGAAAGCTGATTTGTTCAATTTACTGTATGCTTTTATGTGTATTAGGTAGCAACTGAATTTCTTTTTACTTGTGCTTCATTTTGGGGCACTTTGATTGGAGAGAAAGTCACTTTCCTGGATTACATCTTGCTAAAGCACTCCTTAGCATTGGTCCAAACTTGAATTCCCTGAAAACAAAAGAAACTTACAATGTGATTCTGCCCTAGAACCAACATTGTGGTGACTGGGGAATGAAAACATCACTCTAATGGGAGGAAAGCATTCAAAGCGACACAAAAGGGGACAAAGACGTCAAACTGTCCCTGTTTGCAGATGATAGGACTCTATGCTTGGAAGACACCAGACTCCTCCAATCTGGGTCACACTGTTAGGCCCTACCCTGATTAAAGAAAACAGGAAGCAGTGAGGTGGCTCTCCAGGACCCACATGCATGCCCCACCTCCCACATAAAAAGTGTTTTTTATAAAAGAAAAAAATACAATAGGTCTCAGCACTGTTGCATAAGAGTTCACATGAGCACATACAATGCAGTTTTGTCTGGGGGATGGAGAAATGCAAGCATTTTCTAAGTGACTGTTGCTATCTAAACACCCAAAAGGATGCACACTCAAGTGTGATAGAGGAATGACTTTTAAAAGGGATCGTGGTGGGGGGATGTTTACTTCTATGTTCTAAGTCACTGAAATATTCATTATATCTGTGCTATATGCTACATAAAATAAATGAAAAATCAATTTTTAACTTTTTTTTTTTTTTTTGAGACAGATTATGTAGCTCTGGATAGCCAGGAACTCACCATACAGACCAGACTGGCTTCAAACTCACAGAGACTTGCCTGCTTCTGCCTCCGAAGTGCTAGAATTAAACATGTGTGTAACCGCACCTGTCCAATATTTATTTATTTTTTAAAAAATATTTATTTATTTATTTATTTATTTATTTATTTCTGTATGTCTGCAGGCCAGAAGAGGGCACCAGACCTCATTACGGATGGTTGTGAGCCACCATGTGGTTACCGGGAATTGAACTCAGGACCTTTGGAAGAGCAGGCAATGCTCTTAACCACTGAGCCATCTCTCCAGCCTCCCCTCCCCCCCCCAATATTTATTTTTAAACTTCAGCCTAGGGCTGGAGAGATGCTTAGTGGCTAAGAGAGCCTGCACTGCTCTTGCAGAGGACCCGAGTTTGGTCCCCAGTGCCCCACATCAGGCTGCTCACAACTAACTCCAGCTGTGGGGGAGCTGATGCCTCTTCAGGTACCTGCACTCATGTGCAGTACCCACACATAAGACACATATATACTCATAATTAAAAATAAAAGTAAGTCTTTTAAAGATATAAAAAAGAAAACCCAAAAGCTTTAGCCTACTTGATTTGATAAATTAGATAACTCACTATTACAAAGGTTAACCAAAACCAGAAATACTATTTACTTTTTGTTTTGGAGTGGAAGAGGGGCGCAAATAGCCCAGGCTACTCTTGTACTCAGTATGTGGGAACATCTGATCTTCCTGCCTCAGATCTCCTTCCCTAGAACCAGGACCATAAGTTGCATCAGCATGCCTAGTTGTATGCAGGGCTGGGGACCAAGCACAGGGCTCTGGCATGCTAGGTGAGCACTCTGCTAACTGAGCTACAGCCCCAGCCCAGCTACTAACTAAAATGCTTCGTGATTTGTGTGCTTTTACTGTTTCATTACTGCAATTCAGTCAAGCCAAGGAACCTAAGTTAATCAATAATGATATGATGTAACTACATATGTAAAATATACTCATATTTACCCAAGAATAAACTAATGTCAATCTTAACTTTGGGCACCTATTTTTTTTTTTTTTTTTTTTTGATTTTCGAGACAGGATTTCTCCTTAGCTTTTTGGTTCCTGTCCTAGAACTAGCTCTTCTAGACCAGGCTGGCCTCGAACTCACAGAGATACGCCTGCCTCTGCCCCCCAAGTGCTGGGATTAAAGGCGTGCGCCACCACCGGCCGGCTGGCTGGCTGGGCACCTAATTTTTAAGTTTCTAAAGAAAAAGATCCTGTCATGCACCAGATATGGTATAATCTTTTTTTATTTTTTATTTATTTTTGTTTTTTTTTTTTCCCCCCCAAGACAGGGTTTCTCTGTGGCTTTGGAGCCTGTCCTGGAACTAGCTCTGTAGACCAGGCTGGTCTCGAACTCACAAAGATCCACCTGCCTCTGCCTCCCGAGTGCTGGGATTTTATTTTCTTTTAAATTTGGTTTCTCAAGACAGGGTTTTTCTTTGAATCAGTTCTGGCTATCCTGGAACTCAACTTTGTAGGCCAGAACGGCCTTTAACTCAGAGATATGTCTCCTGAGTGCTGGGATTAAAGGCGTGTGCCCCCACAGCCCAGTTTACACTTAATCTCAACACCTAGGAAATGGAGGCAGGAGTGAGAGCGGGAGGGAAGCCTGTGCTGCAGTGAGCTTCAGGCTAGCCTGGGATACACAGGGAATTCAAGTCAAGCTTGGATACATAGTGAGCTCAAGGCAGGCTGAGGTACAGGCATGACTTTATCAGGGACTGTAGCTCAGTGGTAGGGCTCTTGCTCAGCAAAGGCACGTACATGGGTTTGAAAAAAAAAGAGGGATATGCATGGATATAGTGATATTTTGTTTATGATCTAACAAGTAAAGCTTGCCTGAAGATCAGAGTGCAAAGCTAGCCACACTAGTCAGCAATACAGGCCAGGCAGTGGTGGCACACACCTTTAATCCCAGCAGCCACACTAGTTAGCCATAGAGGCTGGGCGGTGGCAGTGCACACCTTTAATATCAACACTAGAGAGGAACACAAGGGATGAAACAGGAACCCACTCTCTTTTCAGTCTGTCTAGCCCTTCTTATTTTCATTTGTCTCAGTGTGTGGCACACACATGCCACAGTGAGTGTGTGGAGGTCAGAAGATACTTGCAAGAACTGGAGTGAGTGAGTTCTCCAGTCCTTCTACCGTGTGGGAAGTGGGACTCACATTAAGTCATCAGTTTAACAGTAGTACCTTTCCCCAGGGAGCCATCTCACAGGCCTTCAACTCTCCTAACTAAGCTGCCTCCCTAGCAGGCATGCACTCCTGAGCCAGCTGCTACAGCTGCATCCTCATGAGGGCTGGCTACCTTTTTGCACATGCTAATCTGCATGACGGCATAGCTGATGAGGGCTTCCTTTAGGTCCCGGTTCTTCTGCTCTTTGAAGCGCTCGATATCAGCCCATGCATTCTTCACAAATTCTCTGAAATCAAACATACAGCCATGCTTATTCTCATTTAAAGACGCTGCATCACAAACCCAACCAAGCAGTTCAAGCAGTCATTTCCTCCAAGCTGAAACACCTTTTGCTAAGGGAGGAGGGACACTAGGGTCACTAGTAAGGCTTTGGACTCTCAGAAAGCTGCAAAACTTACAAGGCTCCTTCTGGAGGTCACAGAGGCAGTGAGCAAACTCCCAGGGAAAGAATCACTTCTGTGGAGCTGTCTGCAAGCTGGGCAGGACTCCAGGGGTGTAACTTTCATGAGTCCATGTTACTGCAATTAACCCAATGAACTCACGGGTTCACCAAGTGAACTGTCTCTTTGGTGTGTCATCTGTGCCCTAGCTGGAGTAAACAGACATCTTTACATCTCCTCAGGCTGTCTCTGCTTGCTTGTATAAGATACCTATTTTTCCTTTCCCTAAGATGTGAGTGGAAAACAGAAGTATCTGAATAGTTTTCCACATTATGCCTACTTTTTCTACATACGTTAATACTTTTGCCACAGCTCTGCTTCAGACAGATATGGATGGCTTCTGGACCCACTTACAGACATATAGATGCCACAGGAAATGTCTGCCTTGGGCCACTGGGAAACATACATCGATTATGAATCCTGACTAGCATGTGTATGATTTAAAAGACAGCTTGGAACTGGAGAGATGGCTCAGTTGTTAATGCTCTTGAAGAAGACCTGGGTTTAATTCCCAGCAACATGGCAGCTCAAAACTGTCTGTAATCCTACCTCCAGAGGACCTGACACCCCTTCTGACCTTCATGGCCACTTGGCATGTATGCTGTGTGTACATATACGTGAGGCAAAATACTCATATATATAAAATAAAAATAAACAAATCTTAAATGACAATCTGTCTCTTAAACTCTGACTGCTGGGCTCAGTGACAAGTACCTGTAGCACCAGCTACTAGGGAGGTTTAAGGGGAAGGTTTAATGATGTGGGAGTGTCATATCAATCTGTTGATTTCATTGGTTAAGCAATAAAGAAACTGCTTGGCCCTGATAGGTTAAAACATAGGTGGGAGGAGTAAACAGAACAGAATGCTGGGAGGAAGAGGAAGTGAGCTCAGAGACGCCATGCTCCCCTCTCCCGGGCAGATGCGATAGCTCTGCTCTCTGAGGCACACGTGATGAAGCTCCGACCCAGGATGGATGTAGGCTAGAATCTTTCCTGGTAAGACTGATGCTACACAGATTATAAGAGATGGGCTGATCGGGATATGAGAATTAGCCTGTAAGGGCTAGAGTTAATGGGCCAAGCAGTGTTTAAATGAATACAGTGTCTGTGGAATTACTTCGGGGCATAAGCTAGCAGGCGGCCGGGGTGCTGGGGACGCAGCCCCGCTGCTCCTATTACAACAGTTTAAGTCCTGGGAGTTCACGAGCCTGAGTAACACAGTGTGACTAAGCCCCCAACCCTCACCAATAAAATCTCCAGTACATTTCAAGCTAAGAAGGGGGTACAACTCTCACAGTTCATGACTCTGAAGGTCCCACAAACTGACAGAGACAATCACTGACCACCTACCCACCCAGTGCCAACGGTAAGACTAGAGAAGAGGCTTTAAAACCACAGAGAAACCCTGTCTCAAAAAACCCAAAAAAAAAAAAAAAAAAAAAAAAGACTAGAGAAGAACAAGTTCCATGCCATGATAGTCGGTGAAGGGCACTTGTGCTGTGTCTGCAGGATCAGGTTTTGTTAAATGGGGCTAAAGAAAGGGCTCAGAGAATGCGCAAAGAGTAAGAATCATGAAAAGTATAAGAATAAAAATCACAGGGGCTGGAGAGATGGCTCAGTGGTTAAGAGCACTGACTGCTCTTCCAAAGGTCCTGAGTTCAATTCCCAGCAACCACATGGTGGCTCACAGCCATCTATAATGAGATCTGGCGCCCCCTTCTGGCTTGCGGGCACACATGGAAAGAATGCTGTACACATAATGAATAAGTAAATAAATAAATAAATAAATATTTTAAAAAAGGGAATAAAAATCACAAAGCCGATGCCCTATCCCTTCCCTGCCCCCTCCCTACACATGGTTTCGTTACTCCAGCTGTGCAGTAAGCACCCGGGTGGCATGCAGGCTCTGTCACTAGAGAACACATGTCCGTCACAGTAGCCTTGTTGAGCAGCAGCGTTTTACCTGCTTTCCAGGTTTTTGGACTTTAGCTGCTGCTCCCCTTCACCAATCTGCTCCTCTAGCACCTTCACTCTGGCTTCTCTCTGCTCTGGAGCTTCTTGACCAAAGAGTTTGGTGGTCATTCCCTTCAATGAGAATGTTCTCACAGTCTAAAAGGGAACAGAAACAGACGAACTGACAAGGCGTGAACATACAGACGGACATTACTCAGCTAAAAACACGAGGATTCTGACTTGTACTACAACCCAGATGAATCCGGATGGCATCATGACAAGTGGGGACGACAGCCACAAAGACAAACACTGTCTGACTGCACGCAAGCGGGGTATCTAAAGGGGTCAGACCAGCAGCAAAAGTGGACTGTGGTTTCCAGGGCTGGGAGAAGAGGACTGAAGCTGTCAACAGGAATGGATTTAGTTTCATAAAATGCCAATGTTCTAAGGACTGGCTCTAACAATGTAATTATACTTGACACTACTTGAAAATGGTTATTACGGTACTGGTGTTTTGAGGTGTTTTGTTTTTTTGGTGCTTCAAACTCAACAGAGATCACCTGTCTCTGCTCCCAGTGGTGGCATTAAAGGTGCGCAGCACCACGCCAGCTTCCTGAGAGGTACTGTTAGCACTGCAGCGCTTGTCGTGAACCAGTGGCCGAGAGGCAGCGTGCACTTGCTATCTCCCTGTTCCGAGAACCTTTCTCTTGCCATGTCAACTGATGCATTCTAGTCAGGTTGCTGGGCTCTGCAGAGAGGTTTATATAACATACCAAATTTTCTTCAGAAGTACACAAATCACACCATAAACGTTAAAAAGGACTTTCTTAGGAGAGATTCTGATTGAGTAAGGCTTTCCAAAGTAAACTAAGTTTTAAAAAATTTTTAATTTTTTAAATCTGTGTGTATGTGTGTGGGCATTCAGGTGTACAAAGACACCAAAATATGGCAAAGATTTCCTTGGAACCGGACTTAAAGGTGATTGGGAGCTGCCTGACTTAAGTGCTAGGAATCAATTTCTGATTCTCTGCAAGAACTAGTAAGCACTCCTAACCACTGAGTATTTCCCCAGCTCCTGAACTAAAATTCCTATAAAACACCTTGCCCAATTAGATAGGACTAAGGACTAAAAAGAGCATAGTTTTGATGGTTGTTATTTTTTTTAGTTTTTATTTTATGCACATCAATGTTTTACCTGCATGTATGTCTATATGAGGGCATCAGATCCCTTGGAACATGAGTTAAAGACAGTTGTGAGCTGCCAAGGGGGTGCTGGGAATTGAACCCAGGTCTTCTGGAAGAGCAGCCAATGCTCTTAACTGCTGAGCCATCTCTCCAGCTCTGACTGCTATCTTTTTTTTTTTTTTTTTTAAATCAAGAAAGCAACCAAAAGGGGCAGGAGGTGGTTCAGTGATTAGAGTATCTGCTGCTCTTTCAGAAGACCTGGGTTCAGTTCCAGCACCACATTAGGAGGACAGTGACTCACAGCTGCCTTCAACTCCTAAGGAGTTCTAAGGGATCCAAATGTCTTCTTCAGCCTCCTGCAGGTACCACACTCATGCAGCGCACGCACGCACACACACAAGGGAAAGGAAAGACAAGGGAAGCCAACACATTGTATCCTATGCAGTTATTTTGTAATCTGTAATAAACCATTCCAGAAAAAAAAAAAAGCAATCAAAAACCTCTAACGTCCCCTCATGATCCTCCTGCTCTCTGGCCTCCGCAGCTGCAGAACCCTGAACAACACTCACCCCAGTGGCCAGCTCCTCGCACTGCTGCTTCTTGGAAGCCAGGTCCTGAGCAGCCGTCTCCAAGTCATACTGCATAAGCTCATGCTTCCGGCACACAGCCCTTGGGGGGAGCAAGCACAGCCATTGAGTTTTTCTGGCTTTTTTAATATATTAGAAATGTTTCAGGGGTGCAGGAGAGACATTCATAATACCTAACTAGGTCCAGGGCTTTTGTGACCTTTTGTAACTTTCATGTTTAAAATGTAGTAGTCCAACCTTGAAAATTAAATCTAACTGAATCTAAGCATAAAAACTTTATGGATCCAAAGACAAAGGTGGCTTATATAATTATTTTCAATAAACACACCACTATCAATTGTTCAAACTCTCTTTCTGTAACAGTCTCATTAGGTACAGTCAGTTGTCTTTGAATTTCAAACCTCCTTGCCTCTGCCTCCTGAGCTGCTGGGTTACAGGTATGCACCACAGGAGCTCACACTGTGGAATCCTGGGACAAGTGAACATTCTTTGATAGGGTAAGATCTCAAAGTTGTCTTCCTTTTCTATCTAGACATATCTTAGCTTTAAATCATAATAATGAACTACGCTTACTATGACAATTCCAATACAGAAATGCACAAAATAGAACAGTTCCAAAAACACCCACAATCCTACTGTACACACAATCCACACAAAGTGTGTCTAATCTTCCAGAACACAGTTAGGCATACACACACACACACACACACACACACCTCTACTGCGTCTATACTTTTACACTTAGCCACAAACAGTGGGCACCATTCCATGTCAATCCACAGTGATCATTTTTATGATTTGTAGGAACTACACAGAATTTTGCTGTATGCAGCAATTCTCTTTTGCTTCATAACTTGAAAACATTCTGGTGAAACACAGAGCAGGTAAGGAAAAAGCTAACTACCTGCCAATGTTTTCTGCCCAGTAAAATTCTTTTTTTTTTTTTTAATTTTTACTTTGAATTCTGTGTGTGCGTGTGCATGAGTTTGTGTGTTCATGTGAGTGCAGTGGATCTCCTGGAGCTGGAGTTACAACTAGTTAGTTGTAAGCTGCCTGACATAGGTACTGGGAATTGAACCTGGTCCTCTGGAAGAGCAGTAAAACTCTTAACCACTGAGCCAACTCTCCAGCCCCCCAAAAGAGTTCTACTTCTTTTTGTTTTCTTCATTCAATTTGTAAACAGGGTCTTCTTGCTATGTAGCCCTGGCCGGCCTGGAATTTACTATGTAGACAAGGTGGGCCTTGACCTCAGAGATAGGCTGCCTCCTGAGCACTGTGACTAAGGACCTGCACACTGTGCCCTGCCTCCAACAGAATTCTATACTGCTCTTCAACGTGACAGAAAACTAATCAAAAGCCAATAACCCTTTCAGAAAAATGGTTTTCCTAACTTGAATTAAAAAAAAAATCCAAGAAAGGAAGAAAGAGTGGTAGTTTGAAGGAGAATAGCTCCTATAGGCTCATATATATGAATGATTGGTCCCCAGCTGATGACACTAGGAAGGATTAGGAGGTGTGTCGCTGGGGTTGCTCTGAGGCTTCAAAAGCCCATGCCACTCAAGTTAGCTCCTTGTTTCTCTCTTCCTGCTGCTTGTGGATCAGATGTAAACTCTAAGTTACGGTGCCTGCCTGCCTGCCTGCCTGCCTCAATGCTCCCACCATGATGCCCATGGACTAACCCTCCCAAGGTCACAATTAAGTGCTTTCTATTGTAAGCTGCCTTGGTAATAGTGTCTCTTCAGTGCAACAGAAAAGCAACTAAGAAGGAGGGAGGAAAACATGCTAACTTTTTGTTATCCAATAAGTCTGTTTAACAGAGAATTCTGTTTGTCTCTGTAGGGCTCTACACCTCAGCCTGTATTCTGTTCCCAATCTTCAAATTGAAAAAAGAAGGAAGAAACAGACACTCCATGATCCCAAACAGAAAAGCTCTTGTTAAGAAGATACTTGAAGAGTGGAACTTCTGGTTTTCTGCCTGAGAAGGGAATACTCTGGGTCTCATTAAGCGGCCTGACAGAGTCAGCTCACTTAAGAAGGAGCCTATTGTCTACATTTCTGGGCTGTCACTAAACTTACCGCAGCGCTTCTGCGTAGAAGAGATACTCCTTCAGCTGGTCCGCATAGTGCTCCTCATCTTCCAGAATATCATCAATAGAGGATGCGTACCTGTCAAGAAACATAGTAACTCTAACTGTGTCAACAAAAATTAATATTTAAAGCAAGTGGCAGACAAAGCACTTATAACTCCGTCTCCAGGGGATCCCACACCCTCTCCTGGCATCAGTGGCATCTGCACACACATGGCTCGAGCACACACTCACAGGCACACACACACACACAAACATAAATAGTTGTTTGTTTTCTGAGACAGGGTTTCTCTGTGTAGCCTTGACTATCCTAGAACTCACTCTGAAGACCAGGCTGGCCTCAAACTCACAGAGATCCACCTGCCTCTGCCTCCAGAGTGCTCAGATTAAAGTAGTGCGCCACCACCACCCAGCTAATAAGTTTAAAAAAAAAAAAAACTTAAAAAAAAAGCTAGTTAGCTTGAATATGGCATACGGAAAAGTAATATTTTTTTAATTTATTTCTTTATTAATTAAAGATTTCTGTCTCTTCCCCACTGCCGCCTCCCCTTTCCCTCCCCCTCCCCCAATCAAGTCCCCCTCCCTCGTCAGCCCAAAGAGCAATCAGGGTTCCCTGCCCTGTGGGAAGTCCAAGGACCACCCACCTCCATCCAGGTCTAGTAAGGTGAGCATCCAAACTGCCTAGGCTCCCACAAAACCAATAGGTGCAGTAGGATCAAAAACCCATTGCCATTGTTCTTGGGGTCTCAGTAGTCCTCATTGTCCGCTATGTTCAGCAAGACCGGTTTTAACCCAGGCTTTTTCAGACCCAGGCCAGCTGGCCTTGGTGAGTTCCCGATAGGACATCCCCATTGTCTCAGTGTGTGGGTGCCCCCCTCGCGGTCCTGAGTTCCTTGCTCGTGCTCTCTCTCCTGGTACTCCTGATTTGGACCTTGAGATTTCAGTCCGGTGCTCCAATGTGGGTCTCTGTCTCTGTCTCCTTTCATCGCCTGATAAAGGTTAATATTCAGGAGGATGCCTATATGTTTTTCTTTGGGTTCTCCTTCTTATTTAGCTTCTCTAAGAACCCAAATTATAGGCTCAATGTCCTTTATTTATGGCTAGAAACCAAATATGAGTGAGTACATCCTATGTTCCTCTTTATTTTAAATAAAGTATTTTCCTACCACCGAATAGCTTGAGCTGCACTGATATGGACTGCACATTCACAATATAAAAGTGATGGCTTCATATAGGTAGTCATATGGCATGACTAATACATATCCATTACCTGACATACTCATCTTTTCCACAAATATTTAAGACCTTTTTTCTTTTTATTATTGGTTTAAAGTAGCTATTTAAATATGGCAATTACCAGGATCTGGCTATGACAAACAATGCTGCTATTAACATAGTTGCCCTTTGACCGAAGAATGGATAAGGAAAATGTGGTATATTTACACAATGGATACTACAAAGTAGAAAAATTAATGATATCTTGAAATTTGCAGGCAAATGGAGCTGGAAAACATCATTTTGAGTGAGGTAACCCAGACCCAGAAAGATAATCATCACATGTACTCACTCATAAGTGGTTTTTAAACATAAAGCAAAGAAAACCAGCCTACAAATCACAATCGCAGAGAACATAGACAACAATGAGGACCCTAAGAGAAACATACATAGATCTAATCTACATGGGAAGTAGAAAAAGGACAGGATATCCTCAGTAAATTTGGAGCATGGGGACCATGGGAGAGGGTTGAAGAGGAGGGGAGAGGTAGGGAGGGGAGCAGAGAAAAATATAGAGCTCAATAAAAATCAATAAAAAAAATTGAAAAAGTAACAATAAATAAATATGGCGATTACATTTTATTTATATAAGGGGGGGCACATGTGTGCCATGGGGCATGGTGGAGGACAGAGAACAACTTTTGGGAATTGGTCCTTTTCTTCTAGGATGTGGGACCTGGGACTTAAACTTGTACTCACCAGCCTTGGAAACAAGGGCCTTTACCCACTGACTACCTCATCTGCCTTACTGCTGTCTTTTCTTTCTTTTTTAGAATTTATTTATTTAATTACATATACAGTGTTTTGCCTGCATGTATACCTACACACCAGAAGAGGGCACCAGATCTCATTATAGGTGGCTGTGAGCTACCAAGTGGTTCCTGGGAATTGAACTCAGGACCTCTGGATCTCTGAGTCATCTCTCCAGCCCCATCTTTTCTTTATTTAATTTGAAAATTTTCATAGAAAAAAATGCATAAAATTTATCTTCAAAGGAATTTTTTGAGGCAGGGTCTCATGTAACTGTCCTCAAACTCCCTGTGCAGACAGGGTTGACCTTGAACTTCTGGTTCTCCTGCCTCCACCTTCCTGCGCCCCACTTCAACTGGTTTTACATGGTGCTGGAGATGGAACCCAAAGACTTGTGCACGCTAGGCAAGTACCTTACCACCTGCCCTGTATCTCCAGTCCTGGGACAAGGTTTAAGTGCAAACTTCAGGAGAATTAGGTACATGTGCGCTGTATCAACCATCTCCAGCACGTTTTCAGCTTCTCAACTGGATGAGGTCCTTATACAGCATTAACTTCTATCAATTTAAAATTAAGAGTTCTTTTTCTATTCTAGGCATGCTGATGCACAGCTTGAACCACAGCATTTGGTGTGCAGAGACAGGCAAATCTCTCTGAGTTCTAGACCAGGCCAGGCTCATTTACATAGTGAATTCCACGACATCCAGGACTCTATCTTAAAAAAAAATAAAAAAATTTAAAAAGTACCTTTTCCTCTATATTGTCCTAAAAGCTACAATTTTAATTTTATTATGATGTATATAAAAGATCTAAATACGTTTATATACTTTATAAAAACTGAATTATGTTTTATGTAAAGTGAGATTTGGTTCAGAGGGTTTTTTCTTCTTCTCTGTGTAGCAATCTATTTTTCCAGCAGTGCTTTTAAAGTTCACTATAGAAAAGTATGCATCTATTTTTGGACTTAATTGTCTTCAATTGAACTCTTTTTTTGTTTTTTCAAGACAGAATTTCTCTGTGTAGAACTGGTTGTTCTGGAACTCAGTCTGTAGACCAGGCTGGCCTCATGGAGATCCACCTGCTTCTGTCACCCGAGAGCTGGGATTAAAGGCGTGCATCACCATCACCTGGCTACAGATTTTTATCTTTATTTTGTTACTGTATGAATTAGACAGTTTCAGAATACATGTATAAACCAATCTTGCATTCCTAGAGAAACAAGTTCTCTGTATACGTGCAAACCATAACTATAAATGCCAGTTAACTTGATATAAACCGGCGAGTACCCAGCACTCCCCACTGAGCAAGCCCAGCTACATAGTTCTTAAGTTACTCACACGTCCATGTGGTGCCCGGCACTCTGCAGCCCATCACCCATTTCTTTTTCGATGGCACTCCACTCACTGGAAGAAACAAGGGAAACGCTATGAACTGGCTCTGCGAGGTATTACTCCCAGCTGTGTTCACAAGATCCTTTTCTAGCTAGGACCCACAGGTGGATTATTGTCCCTGACTCAAGTATACTGATTTTCCCTTAAAATTTCATAATTAAAGGTAAGAAGACAATACACAAAGCTAGGGCTGCAGCTCAGTCAGTACAAGGCCTGCCTACCGTGTTAAACATGGTGCACATCCGATACCCAAACACTAGAAAAATGGGGGCAGGAGAACCACAAGTTCAAGGTGGTTGATTTTGACTACAGACAAATTTAAGACCAGCCTGGCTACATGAGACTCTATCTCAAAAAACAACAAAGAAACAAAAATAATAAGGAAAAGAACCACCCCTCAGAAAGAAAATTTACAAAAGAAAAAAATTTAAAGCTGGGATTGGGATGGTGGCACAAGCCTTAACACCAGCACTGCAGATACAGAGGCAGGCAGATCCTGCAAGTTCTAGGTTTTCCTGGTCTACAAAGTGAGTTCTAGGCCAGCCTGGGCTACACAGTAAGACCCCTGGGTTTGAGTCCCAGCATCCACATGGCAGCTCACAAATATCTGTAGCTCTAGTTCCAGAGGAACTTTGGGCCTCCATAGGCACTAGGCACATATACACATTACACATTTGCTGGCAAAACACTCCTAATATAAATAAACTAAAAATTTAAGTAACCAAAACATGCAAGTCATACACAAATACATACATATACCACCCTCCCCACTTTGGTACTGAGGGTTGAACCCAGGGCCTCATAGACTAGACAACTGTTCTAACCCTGAGATATACTTCCAGCCCTTACACAAGTATTCAAATTACTGAAATATCCTAAGATTCAAAAACTTATCTTGCTAAAGTCTTCATAAATCATAAATGGAAAAAACAAAGAAAAGAAAGAGAAAGTATCCAATTCTATGAGACAGTGGTTCATTCTCTCCAGGCCATCAGCAGAGAAAGTAGGAGGCCTTGGTCCCTTCAGTCAGGAGTTGTCACTCAACATGTAGAATTCTCTCAACACTTTTGTTTACAGAATGGCTTTAAAATGAAAGCGCTCGCTTACTAGACAAAAGAAAGCTGTTAGTACAGGACATCACTGAATCTGTAAATCTCAACACTTGAGTCAGACATGTGTGGATTGTTGCAAGTCTCAGATATGCCTGTGCTACAACATAAGGAGTTCCAGGCCAGCTGAAGCTACAGGGTGAAACCCTGTTCCAAAAGAACCAGAAGGCGATGGAGACGGCTCAGTGAGGAAAGAGATTACTTACCATGGGAGCCCGCGGATCAGAGTTTGGACAGCTGGGACTCCTCTACATGACAACCTGCTTATGATGCCAGCACTTGGGACACAGGGACAGAGCAAGCTGCCTGGCTAGACTAATCTAAACTGGTGAGCTCTAGTGTCAAGGAAGAGAACCTGCCTCAATGAATAAAGTGAAGAACAATCAATGATACCCAATGCTAACCTCTGTTGTGGGATTTTGTACACTGTGTGAAGATGTCTTGCTGTGATTTATGTGATAGAAAGCTGAATGGCCAATAGCTAGGCAGGAGAGTTAGGCGGGACTTCCAGGAAAAAGAGGGGAACTCGGGATCATTCTAGGTGCACAAGAGACACACCAATGAGATACAGAGAGACATACAGAATGAAAGAAAGGTAAAAAGTCATGAGGCAAAACATACATTAATATAAAAGGGTTAATTTAAGTTAAAAGAGCTAGTGGGATAAGCCTAAGCTAAGGCTGAGCTACAATTAATATTAAGTCTCTGTGTTATTATTTGGGGCTGGCAGTCCAAAGAAAAATCTTACTACAAACCTCTGGATTCTACACACATGTACATACACTTCAACATGTACACACCATTTAACACATGCACCTACTCACATGTGAACACACACGCTCCATTAGAGAATATAAATAAATAAACCGTATTCTCCTGACTCATACATTATAAGAGTTTTAAAGCCAAAAAGTCAATTAGAGCTAAGTGTTTAATTCTGTAAGATACTTACCTAAAAACTCTTCCATAATTCCCATGTACTTTATACACACCATAGAGTCGATCTGCTACTCTCTGAAATATTTAACAGAAATTAGTATTAGGCTGAAGTTATACACAGATTACTTTTTAAAAACCCATATACTTTTTTTTTTTTAAGGCAGGATTTCTCTGTAGCTTTGGATCCTGTCCAGGCTGGCCTCAAACTCACAGAGATCTGCCTGCCTCTGCCTCCCAAGTGCTGGTATTAAAGGCGTGTGCCACCACCGTCTGGCAAAAATCCATATACATTTTTAAGAGTCAGAGGGGAAAAAAACAATCACCATGCTTACCAGGAAAGAAAAGCACCCCCAAACCACATGACAAACACAGAACTAGAGCAGCCTGACATGTTTGCTGTGCTGCCACAGTCCTTTTTAGCAGTTTTTCTGGTTTGCCTTTTTCTTTTTGTTTTGTTTTGTTGAGACAGGGATTCTTTGTGTAGCCCTGGCTGTCCTAGAACTCACTCTTTAGACCAGGCTGGCTTCAAATTGACAGAGATCCACCTGCCTCTGCCTCCTGAGAGCTAGGACTAAAGGTGTACTTTGCCCAGCATGTTAGCACTAGTTTTAATCACAGCACACGAAGTAGCTGTATACCATCAGAGTCCGTAAGCCTCCTTTCCTGTAGCCTTTCCAGGATTATGATGCTGCAGAAAGCATCTCTGAGAGGCACCTTTCCCCCTTCAGACTGTTTCCTTATGAGCAAGCTTGCAGCAGAAGACACGTGACTGCACCATCCTGATTACCCCTCCCCTCCTGCTGTGGGGCTAAAATTCCTTCCTGAAGGAGAAGTGGACACTGGGAAAGGAAAGAGTCTATGGCGTGCTACTAGATGATGAACTTGAAGATCTGGATACACACAGATTTTTCTCCTTTGAGTCTCCTAGCAGATTTCAGAGATTCAGAGATTTAAAATTCCTAGCTGGGCCCAGTGGCTTGTGCTTCCAGCACTGAAGGGCAGAGGCAAGTGCATCTCTGTGAATTTATGATAGTCTGGTCTACAAAGTGAGCCCCAGGCCAGCTAAGTCTACACAGTGAGACTCTGTCTCAAAACAATAAAGACTCCTGATACAAGTGATTTCCAAAGAAGCTGTGTGATTCTCTCCGACCACCCTCTCTAACTATGCTGCGAACACCAGATATTACCACATCTACAGACAACAAAACAATAAATATTAAATATGATGTCAGTAACTATAATTTACATCTTTAGAATGTTAGCAAAATAAAGTTGTGTTTTTAGAATATTAACAAGGTTATATTAAAAATGAGATTCTGCCAGGGGAAGAGGTAACAGAATACAACAGGAAATAGAACCATGTAGTTGAGTTCAAGTTCTTTCTTTGTTTAAATGATTTATTTAGGGGCTGGAGAGATGGCTCCGCAGTTAAGAGCACTGGTTGCTCTTCCAGAGCTCCTGAGTTCAATTTCCAGCAACCACATGGTGGCTCACTACCATCTCTAGTGGGGTCTGATGCCCTCTTCTGGCATAAAGGTATATATGCAGATAGAGCACTCATATATAAAATAAATCTTATAAAATTTTTGTAAAATTTTAATTTTTACTTACATGTATAAGTGTTTTGCCTGCATGGACGCCTGTGCATCATGTGTATGCTGTCTAGAAGAGGGCACTGAAACCTCTGGAAATAGAGATATAGACGGTTTTGAACCATCCTGTGGGTGCTGGTAACTGAACCTGGTCTTCCACAATAGCACCAGGTGCTCTCAACCTTCCAGCCTCGTGAGTGCAGCTGCTATGTAGAGCTGCGAGACTAGAGTACTCCAAACCTTTATACTGTGTCTTTCAGATAAGGACATGACCTCCATCAGGTGACTCTGCTAACCAGGGCAATTCACTGAGTGCCCGTTATCTTCCCATCCTTTGCCCACGTATACCTGTGGGTGGCTAAGAGAATGGGCTCCTGAGGCAGATTTACAGTCTCATTCTGGTCTCCACATCTGTCTCCTGGGAGGTACTAGAGTCCATTAATCTCACTTGCCTGTTTCGGACTGTGTAAAATGAAGTGACAGGACTGTCCCCACAGGGTCGTTAAGGGAGGCTATCCTAACATATCTAGCATCACAGTACACAAGTAATAGTCAAGGAAAAGTGTTAGTTTTAATTTCCTTTAGCTCACAGACCAAAACTGACCCTTCTTGGCCCTGAGGCCACCAGCTGTTTAGTAATTCTGTTTACTCAAGTATTTAATTCATACCTAGCTGTAATGTAACTTTTACCTTTACATGTTTTTTTTTAAGTTATTTATTAAGTATATGGTGTTCCACCTGCATTCATGCCTGCAGGCCAGAAAGGGGCATCAGATCTCATTACAGATGGTTGTGAGCCACCATGTGGTTGCTGGGAATTGAACTCAGGACCTTTGGAAAAGCAGGTAGGGCTTTTAACCCCTGAGCCATCTCTTCAGCCCCCTACACATGGTTTAAAAAGAATTATCCTCAACAGAAAAAATAATGCTTCCACTTCTCCTTTAAGCAGTTTATACCTTGCCACCTGTCTTAAACAGCATCTGAGCTATCTTCTACAGTTGACACTGCCACTAGGAAAAATCCATGGAGTTCCTGTGTGAGTTTTCAAGCCCCCATCCTTGCATCCTGTCACTCTACTGTGACTGTTCGTGTCTCAGGACCTTTCTCATATTTCAGAACACTATTTTAAAACCCAAGTCAATCAGAAGATATCACATGGTTCCACTCATATAGTAGAATTTTTTTTTTTTTTTTTTGGATTTTTTCGAGACAGGTTTTCTCCGTAGCTTTTTGGTTCCTGTCCGGGAACTAGCTCTTGTAGACCAGGCTGGCCTCGAACTCACAGAGATCCGCCTGCCTCTGCCTCCCAAGTGCTGGGATTAAAGGCGTGCGCCACCACCGCCCGGCTGATGTAGTAGAACTTTAACTTGACTCATACTCAAGTGTAATTTCAAAGTAATGAAAGACCTAGAAATTTCACCTCATTGACCAGAAACCCTTTTAACTATTCAGTTCTTACTCCTAAGCAGGGAATAATAGAGAGAGCCACCCACTCCAGTTGACTTACTTTTTTTCTTTTTTCTTTTCTTTTGCTTTTTTGAGACAGAGTTTCAGTTCTGACTGTCTGGGAACTCACTTTATAGAACAGGCTGGCCTGGAACAGAGATCCGTCTGCCTCTGCCAGTGTTGGGATTAAAGGCGTGCGCCACCAGTGCCACCACCACCCAACTTACTCTGACTATCTTAGCATTTAAGGAGTCTATTGGGGCTATGTTGGAACCTTGGTCTTTAGTGAAGTGTACAATTTTATGGGGATGCTAAGAATTCAATTTAGGTCCTCGTGTTTGCAGGGTGGGTACTTTTTACCCACGGAGCTGTCTCCACACTCGTAGTCTATCTTACGGTGTCTGTTGACAGAGATGGAGGTCTTGTACAAGTTGGTCACACACTTTACCATAGAGCTACATCCCCCAGTCCTACCTTTCTGTACTATCACAGAAAATTTCAAATATTATGAAAGTACGGAAAAGCACAGTTCAGTGGCAGAGTACTTGTCTAGCATTTATGCATTCATGAGGTCCTTTGTTTGAGTCCCAAGACTGAGACAAACAAAGAATACAGAGAAGGACTGGAGAGATGGCTCCACAGTTAAGAGCACTGGCTGCTCTTCCAGAGGATTGGGTTCAATCCTAGCACCCGCATGGAAAAACTCACAATCATCTATTACTCCAATTCTAGGAGATTCAACACATGGAAATTTTTTTTAAGTTTTTTTTTCTTTTTTTTTTTTTTGTTTTTTGAAACAGGGTTTGTCTTTAACTTTGAAGCCTGTCCTGGAACTCACTCTGTAGACCAGGCTGGCCTCGAACTCACAAAGATCTGCCTGTCTCTTTCATCCAAGTGCTGGGAATAAAGGTGTGTCCACCACTGCCCGCCTATATTTTTTTAAAAATGTATAAAGACCAAAAACGTGTACATGTACTTCCTGGCATCCAGCTTCAATAATTATTATACAGTCAACCTAGTTCCATCTAAAACTGCACCACTGTACACTAGGAAGAAATCAATGAGCTCAAATTCTTCAAACTGTTTCTCCTTTTCTTTTTTTTAAAAGATTTATTTATTATGTATACAGTGTTCTGCCTGCATGTAAGCCTGCATGCCATAATAGGGCATCAGATCTCATTATAGATGGTTGTGAGCCACCATGGGCGCTGAGAATTATACTCAGGTCCTCTGGAAGAACAGTCAGTGCTCTCAACTGCTGAACCATCTCTTCAGCCCCTGTAAGCTGTTTCTAACAGAAAAGCCTTCCCATCTCTCTTAGAAGGCAGTTTGGTTATGAATATACTAGATTTAAATGTAAAACCAGTCAAGCATGGGGACTCGGTGACAAGTGCAGTCTGTAGAAAGTGTCGCCGAGCTCTGGATCACTTACAGCTCTGACGCGAAGGAGATGGGAGATGACGGACTGCAGCTCGTCACTGTAGTGCTTCAGTTCAGTAAACCTCCTGAAACAGGGAACAAAGCATCACTCAGGAAAACACGCAGAGTCTGTGCACAAAATAGCAATTCCTGCGAATAATGAAACTCATTCTATTTAACCACATCCTGTCCCTAAACAAGCCAATATCAACAGAAAAATATCCGAACATCAAGCAGTATATCTACACATACTGAGAGCCAAAGATGCACACTTATTAAATTACATCATGAGACTAAGGCAGAGATAAAAAATCTGTGGGTATGGAAAATTATTTTGAAAACAAAACAAAACAAAAAAACAGGAAAAAATTTCTGGTACTAAAAATATACTAAATAGCAACCTCAACCTAAATAGCAGTCTGTCCTGGCATTAGTTCTGTTGACCAGCAGGCTGGCCTCGAACTCACAGAGATTCACCTGCCTCTATCCCCTGCCCCAGGTTCTGAGATTAAAGGCATTGCTACCACTGCCCCACCTAGACTTAAATATCTTATTTTATGTGAATGCTGATGTACACCACTTGCATCCTTAGTGCCCACGGAGGTCAGAAGAGGACATTGGATGCCCTGGAACAAGTTTTATGTATGGTTATGAACTATCATGTGGGTGCTGGGAATTGAACCTGGATCCTCGGGAGGAGCAACAAGCATTCTAACCACTGAGCCATCTTTCCAGCTGAAGACAGCAAGGTTCTAATGTCACTCCGCACACAGACTACAGAAGGCAGCAGGTGGGAAGTCAGTCAATCTAAAGCTTTCTCAAATCCACATCATCTCAACCCTTTCTTTAGAATCGGCTTACACCCTGTGCTCTAGGTTCTACACTTTGTATTATTTCCCAATTTCTTTTTACCACAGTTAACCCATGCCTTTTACTTCCTAGTCAACCTTGAAGTTTCTCCCGTGGTCCTCTCTTTCTTCACCTGTGTCTAAGTGTGTGAAGAATCCTGAAATGTCTTAATGATCCCGTAGGTAAGAGAGTTTGCCAGGAAAGCAAGAGGACTTGAGTTCAGATCCCCAGCACCCACATAAAAGTCAGACATGGCCTTCATGTCTGTAACTCCAGCACTGCAGGATGGAGATGGATGGATCCTGGGAACTCACTGGCCAGCTGGGCTACCCAGTGAGCTTCAGGTTTAGTGAGACACAATGTCCCCTTCTGGAACCTGCATGCATATACCATGTACACACACACAGAGCTGGGCACGGTGGCTTACATTTATAATCCCTCAGCACTTGGGAAGCTAAGGCAGGTGGCTCACCGTGAATTTGAGGCCAGCGTGGACTACAGACTAAGATCCTATCTTAAACAATAACACTAAAATCCCAGGGCAAGCCCACTACTGAAGTCTCACTGGGAAGAGTGAGCCACAGCAGACAGGTCCAGTGGCACGCAGGGTCTCACAGCAGGATCCAGGTGCTGGATACCCTCAGGTTCACTCTAGGAAATGCTGAGTTTGGGTGTTCTTCAGATGTGAGTCCTAGACTCTCAGTCATTTGCTCATCAACCTTTCAATAAATGCATTCATCCCATGACTTGTTTGTAAGACTTCATGTTTATGACTATGAATGGTATGTCACCACATCCAAAATTCCTACCCAACCCAGCACTGTCTCCTATACCGTAGATCTATACCAGTCCCTTAACAGTACTTGTAGTTACTTTCATATCCAAAGCTTGACCTGTCTTTCCCTACCTCACCCCAAATCCATTCCACAATCCACAGCAGTCTTACAGTAAAGCCTAAGAACTACCTGTCTTTTGTTGTCTCTCTCACCCCACACCCTTTCTTATACACCCAGGTTATCTATTCCACTTCTATAATATTGCCCAGATCTGTTCATGTTGCGCTTGATCTGGCCTTTCTGCTGGTACCTTAGGTCAATATTAGCACCATCATCTATCACCTGGAATTCTCTTACGGCCCAGACTGGCACTCCAGTCTACCTCATACACTCTAATCTACTGCCTACTCTGTTTTGACAATCTTTCTCAAGTCAAAGCCTACATAATTTCTCTGGCTTTTTTGTTTCTTTTGTTTTGTTTTTTGAGACATGGTTTCTTGTGTAACAGCCCTGGCTGTCTTGGAACTTGATTTGTAGATCAACCTGGTCTCGAACTCACAGAGATCCACCTGCCTCTGCCTCCTGGGTGCTAGCATTAAAGGTGTGTGCCACCACCACCTGGCTAAGGTGTGCACTATTATGTATAGCCTCTATCAAATCTTGTACTGGGGAACCAGAAGCCAGAAATCCTTTACAGAAAGTTTCTCTGGAGTTTCTTGGCCTGACTCCCTAAGGGCCTTTCCTTTTAGGGCAGGCTTAACTATAAAATTCTTAAGTATCACAATAGGTTATGAACCACTTCAGAAGACTATAAAATTGTTAGAGATGCAGCCCACCTAAGTTAAGAGAACCAGAGGACCTCACATCTCAATGACAGAACACCCACAGCACACCAGTTTGATCATCTGATTTCTTTAAACAGCTGGTAGATAAGGAAGGAAACAGTATCCCCGTGGGATCAATAACATCATCAGTCAAAGTTAAAATTCTAAACACCCATAGACTGGCCAGCAGAACAAAGCCTGCATCTTCAGAGAAATTAGATACTGGGGGGAAAAGGTTTAAGGGTGAAATAGAGGCAGATTTTCCAGAAATGAGGTCTGGATCCTTTGCCAGTATCAAACTCCATCCAGTATGGTCTGCAAATGAAAGCAAGGACGGTTGACTTTTAAGGACCTAAGTGACAAGGCATTGTCAGAGAGACTAAAGCACACACAATGTCAGATTTTGTCCTCTCCCAACACCAACCTTTTTCAATCCCTGATCAGAAACCAAGTAAACACCAATTCTAGCATGATCTTGAGGCTGTCTACACCAGTGCAACCCATTTTGTCTTCTATTCCTTTTGAAAGAGTCCACTGTCATTATAGCCACAGGCTGCCTTTCATCTCCCCCTCAGACTGTAACCACTGTGCCTTCTCAACCTCAACAGGTGCTTCCCCAACTAGCTCCCACAGGCTTTTTCTGGATGTTTCTCTTCAGTCTGAGAGCTCAAAGGCACAAACCAGTTTGGAGTCAACTGCTGTCAATTTTCTACTGTTCTCTTATTTTCTTACAATTTTTTGTCTTCTCCGTCCTATCACAGTGAAAGTGTAAAGTCACACGAATTTAAAAGGTTTTCTTTTTTCTTTAAAGATGTATGTATGTATGAATGTATACAGTACAGGCCAGAAGAGGGCACCAGATCTCATTACAATGGTTGTGAGCCACCATGTGGTTGCTGGGAATTGAACTCAGGACCTTTGGATGAGCAGGCTCTTAACCACTGAGCCATCTCTCCAGCTCCCCCTTTTAAACCAAGCTTAATAGAGCACACCTTTAATCCTAGAACCTGGTAGGCAGAGAGAGTGGGTGGATTTAAAGACAACCTGGTTTACTCAGTGAGTTCTAAGACAGCCAGATACCCTGTTGCATCCCCCCCCCACGCACGCACGCACAAAGAAAGTTTAAAACATTATGTGTGAATGTGTTGCCTACATATATGTGTGTGTATCATGTATGTGCTTGGTGCTCGCACAGGTCAGAAGAGGGCATGGGGTCCCCTGGAACTGGAGTTACAGATGGTTGTGAGCCACCATGTGGGTGCTGGGTACTGAGCCCAAGTCCTCTGCAGGAGCAGCAAGTGCTCTTCACCCCCAAGTTGTCTCTATAGGCTGCACTTAATCCTCTTGTATAATCTGTAAATCAACCATCATCTAAAATAAACCCAGAAGAAAAGACACTCAATGTATTATGAGTCTGTGCGACATTTGTGAGTCACAAATGTCAGCGCCAACCTTTCTCTTTCAGCTTCTGCATTTCCAGTTCCTACTGCCCTGCCTATCCGGGAGCTGTTTTTGATTTGTAATCTTTTTCTATTGATGGTTACTGTGTTTGAGCGAATGTGAGCATGGGTGTGCTACACACGCATGTGAAGGTACAAGACTAGCCAGTCTGTGAACTTCTGGGAGATTTTCCTAACTCCTCCCATCTCACCATAAAAGTGCTGGGATTCCAGATGTGCACCATCACATCTGGCTTTTTTGCTTGCTTGTTTGTTTATTGTTTTTGTTTTTCAAGACAGGGTTTCTCTGTGAAACAGTTCTGGCTGTCCTGGAACTCACACTGTAGACCAGGTTGGCCTTGAACTCACTTAAATCTGTCTGCCTCAGTCTCCTGAGCACTGGGATTAAAGGTGTGTACCACCACTGGCCGGCATCTTTTTTTTTTTATTTAACTTTATTTTATGTGCTTTGGTGTGAAGGTGTCAGAGCTCCTGAAACTGGAGTTATAGACAGCTGTGAGCTGCCATATTGGTGCTGGTAACAACTCAGGTCCTCTGGAAGAACAGCTAGTGCTGTAAACCGCTGGGCCATCTCTCCAGGCCCCACATCTGGCTTTCTAACATGGATTCTAGGATCAAAGTTGTCAGGCCTACATGGCAATCATTTTTATCCACTGAACTATACTGAGAGCCCCTGACCCGAGCCACTTAAAAGACAATTCTAACTCTATACTACTTTCTATCAACACTTCCTGTTCCAAATAATCTGAAAACTCAAAGGCCCTAAGAAAATCATAATTAAATATTTGACCATGTGGTTTGTTTTTCTTTAAAAGAAAAATTATGGTTTTACATGTGATTTAAGTGAAGGCAATGTTTTGTTTTTTTCAGACAAGAAAGCTAGCAATTAAAACCACAGTAAATGAAACTTCCTGGCAAGGTTATGGCTGGCACAATATTAGGACTGTTTATTTATACAAAACCAAACTAGTAGATTTAAAAATAATTACATAAAGAAAGCCTGGCGGTGGTGGCGCACGCCTTTAATCCCAGCACTTGGGAGGCAGAGGCAGGCGGATCTCTGTGAGTTCGAGACCAGCCTGGTCTACAAGAGCTAGTTCCAGGACAGGCTCCAAAACCACAGAGAAACCCTGTCTCGAAAAACAAAAAAAAAAAAAAAATAATAATAATAATAAAAAAATAAATAAAATAAAATAAAAATAACTACATAAAGAATATATAATTTATGTAATCTGGCCAATTTATCATTTAGATTCTGTTTCAATGGACTTAGTTTATTTGCAACACAACATAATTAGGCAATGAGTGGCCACTGTCAGACCAAGGAAAATGACCTTTACAGAGTCCCTAAAGCAGTGGGTTGCAACCCCAGGAGGTGTCAAATTTCCCTTTCACAGGGGTTGCGTAAGACCATTGGAAAACACAGATACCTACAATACAATTCATAACAGCAGCAAATTTATAGTTATGAAGTAACAATGAAAATAATTCTATGGTTGGGGTCACCACACGAAGAGCTGACTGTATTAAAGAGCTGCAGCATAGGAAGGCTGGGAGCCACTGGACTAAGGTCACGTAAACACAAGACTCCAGATCTCCCTTCTCACTGCTTTAACAGTCAAGTTGGTCTGGGGGAAAATACACTTGCATAAAGCAACTAGAAACAGCATTCTGGTCATCTCTCTGAAACAATTATTCTGGTTATGAGGAATTTAGGGAAACAGAATAAAACTTTTGTGATGCATACTATTTTAACAATGGCATGACTACTTTTAATTGTTATTAATCTGTTGGGCTAACCATAATCAGACCTAGAACAGAGAATTTACATACACCCTCTCTCTTTTTTCATTTTTGTTTTCTTTCCGAGACAGGGTTTCTCTGTAGCTTTGGAGCCTGTCCTAGAGCTCACTCTGTAGACCAGGCTGGCCTTGAATTCAGAGATCAGCCTGTCTCTGCCTCTGGAGTGAGGGGATTAAAGGCGTGTACCTCCATCTCCCAACAAGAATCTCTTATAATGAAATTTAAGGCAAATCAATTTCCTTGTAACTAGACACTCATTTTATACTTTGACAATATTACTGGCTACAACCCATCTAAAATTCAAAAAACCTACAAACAGTATGGATAAAATCCAGTAATTCAAATAATCTTGTAAAGCCAAAAGAAAATGAAGAAATTCAAATGACAAAATCTTTTTCATTATATTGATAAGCATTTAATAAAAAACTAATTAGTGGAACATTAGTGCTAAAGTATCAACAAAAATAACAGATCCCTTAAGGAATATACATCCACCAATGTCACAAACAGCCTGTTTCTTTTAGAGTAACATAATTTTACTTCTAATCTACAAAACACCTATTATTTACCATACATGTCATTTTAAAACTTATAAAAACCTCAATGGGACCTTAATGAAAGAAGCCAATTTGAAAGGTAACCTATTATTTGGCACGACATTCTTTAAAAGGAGAAACTAGCCAGACAGTGGTGGTGCACACCTTTATCTCCTGTTGTGGGAGGCAGAGGCAGTTAGATCTGAGAGTTTGGTCCAGTATGGTCTACAGAGCGAGTTCCAAGACGGCCAGGGCTACACAGAGAAACCCTGTCTTGAAATAAACAAACAAAAAATTATAGAAACAGTAAAACTAGAAAGTTACTTGAGCTGGAAGGAGCAGAGGACTTTAGGACATCGACCTGTTCCATCTATTCTATATGATGCTGCAAGAGCAGCTGGAAGGAGCAGAGGACTTTAGGACATCGACCTGTTCCATCTATTCTATATGATGCTGCAAGAGCAGATGTGCTCATCCCAAACCAGGTCTTGTCCCAGCAACAAACTCTGTCCACCCAGTGGTCTGCGTGAGAGGTGGAGAATCAGAGTCTGGGAAGGAAACGGAGGGTTTTCTATGCTCGATGCTCAGTGTTGCTGTGAACCTAAACTTGCTCTAAAAAAATGTCATAAACAAACAATACTTGAGGGTGTATAATAACATAAACAGGTAGTCCTAGCACTCAGAAGCTACAGACAGGAGGACCAGGAGTTTAAGACCAGTTTGGGTCACATAGGATCTCAAAACAACAAAATGGAGATAAGTGTGGGTGCAGATCCTAGTAGCACTCACAGACATAATTAAAATAATTTAAATAATTTAAAAATAATTTAAAAATAATAAAAAAACAGAAACAAAAGTTCAATGGTTATCATTATCACTTCCTAATTACCAAAATCTTAGAAATATTCATTTATATTTTATATTCAAAGTTTGTGAGAAAAGTCAAGAAGGCCTACAGATTTAGCCTGGTGGCAGAGGGCTTGCTAGCATGCAAGAGGCTCTGGGTTCTATCCCTACCAGAAAACAAGCAAAACAGAGTCTTAATGTTAACAATGTCAGTTTATGAATTACAGTTAGGCATGACAGGTTATCAAACACGCGAATTATAAAAACTTAGCTGACACTGATTAGTGCCGAAGGACTCACTAGAGGAATCCTAACCCATCTGTATCTACGCCAGGAGCTGCAACTACAAACCATCTCTAGCTGAAGCACGCTTCCTGTAAAGAAGCGTGTAAGGAAAAGGCTAGCCCATCCACCAGACTCAGAGTGAGCACAACCTAAATCTCTAGGATCTGTCTTACCCCAAGAAGTCATGTTGCCAACTCCAGCATCCAGTACAGAAATGCTCTCAAGAACACCAGACACGAAGTCAAGGACTTGTGTAAGCACAGCACCTCAGGACCCTTACACTGTGCATTTGCCCTCAGTTTTGTTGGCATACAAACTAGACTGTTATTATACATAAATAATACATAATTTTCTTAAACTGTGCACATTTGATAAGCGTTCATACAAGAAAAGCTACAGGAAAGGACTTTTCTCATTTTTCTGGTATCTTCAACATTTAATCAATGTTTCTAGAAAAAAAAGCAATGGTCTAATTTTCTATAACTTCAGACACAACCTTAACCTCAAATTACCAAACTTCAAAATCAGTTTTAGACTTTAAAAAGGTTTCACTAAATGCAAATTATTATTAAAAATATTTAGCAAACTAAGTGCATACATTCAGAAATGAAAAATGAAATAGATCAATAGGCACCACTCAAAACAACATTGTAAACTGTGATTAAAGCAAAGCCTTACTTGTCTGGGTTTTTCACTCTGAATGTTGCATTAAGCGCTTTTAACCTGGAGTCTGCCTGGAAAAAATAATTTGTTGACTTAATACAATTACATTTCAGGGTATAAATTCAAACAGCTTTACTTTCCCTTCAGAATTAAAGTGCTCAAATATGTGGATTTTTTTAATCATTTGTTATAAGCATATTAAACATATTGAAAAAGAATAGCTTCTTTTGAGAACAGCACACAGCATGTTACAAATCAGCATAAGTATGTGGCCTTCAGTGATTCCAAGCTAACAACCACCAACACCAATGCACCAGTAATGACAACAGCTCTGCATTATCTCCAAGCCAAGAAAAGTGGTGACCTGCCTAGGCAGGCTGTGAACCTGCTGCTTTATGGAGATCCTGTGTGTTCTGAGCATACTTCTCAGGTGGAATCCAAACCACATGGGCCTTCATTTTTCTTGTTATCATAATGTCTCAGAAAAAGAAAAAAATGAAAATAGCTACATTAAATTAATACTATGCTAAATAAAGCAAGCTAGATGGTATCACATTACTAAAGACATCCCTTTTTTGGTTTTTGAGATGGGTCTCATGTAGCCCAGGCTGGCCCTAAACTTCTCATCCTGTTGTTCTAGATCCCTAGCATAGGGTTTCAGGTGTGAGACAGTGTGGTGCCCGGCTTACAAAACACATCTTCTTAACTTCACTTATTTCTAGGTAATTGTTCTCTAAGAAGAGACAGAGAGGTAAATACTAAATAGGAATTTCATTGCATGAGAATCCTAATTTTTTACGTAAACAGAAATGAAAAAGAAAACTGTGTCAAGCATGGTGGTACATGCCTTTAGTCCAGCACTTGGAAAGTAGAGGCAGTTCAACCTCTGTGAATGCTAACCCAACCTAGTCTATAATGAGTTCCAAGACAGCTAGTGAGGATTATGTAGAGAGATCTTGTCTCAAAAATAAAACAAAAAGATGGTGATATGCACCAATAATCACAGCACTTGGGAGGTAGAGGCAAGCGGATCACTGGGGCCAGCCTGGTCTACAAAGTTCAAGGTTAGGCAGAACTACGTAGCTTGTCTTCAAGAACAAAAAACAAAAACATCCACAAAACCAAACCCAAACAAACAAAAAACCCAAACCAGGGTGCTAAAGAGATAGCTTAGCAGTTAAGAAAGCTTGCTGTTCTGGCAAAGAGCCTGGCTTCACAGTTCCCAGCACCCCCATGGCAGCTCAAAACTGCCTGCAACTCCAATTTCAAGGATCCCATGCCCTGCCCTCTTCTAGTCACCATGGGCACTAGGCATGCATGTGGTACACATACATACAAAATACAAATGTAAATCTTAAAAAAAAAATACATTTTTAAAAAAACCAAATGTAGTTTGGCTTTTTAAAAATATCTTTATCCTCATGAAGACTTTATATTATTCCAATTTCCAACCCATAATTACAAATACTTTCAATTAACACAACAAAGTAAACCAAAACCAGCAGGATATCTGAGTTACTCCACTAAGAAAATAGGAACAAATAACAAATGAGCTCTTTCATATACTCAGCGCCCACAACTCCAGAGTAAGGGATCTGCACAGTTGGTCAATAAACACCAAAAAAGCTTAAAGATTTATTCCTTTTATTTTATGTGTATGAGTGTTTTGCCTGTGGGTATATATGTGTACTACATACATACCTGGTACCCAGAAGCCAAAATACTGGTACTGGAGTTACATATAGCTACATGGTAGCCACCATGTAGGAGCTGGGAAAAGAACCCAGGCCCTCTGCAAAATTAGCAAGTGCTCTTAATTGCTAAGCCATCTCTTGGACCTCTCAAATCTCACTTTAAAATAAATAAATACATTTATTTCTTTATTCATGGGGGGGGGGGGTTGCCTACATGTATGTCTGGCAAGTCTGTTCACCATGTACATGCTTGGGGCCTGTGGAAGCCAGAAGGCAGGAATGGATCTCCTGGAACTGGGTAAAGATGGCTGTTATCTACCACTTGGGTACTGAAGGTGAACAGCCAGTGCTCTTAACCACTGAGACATCTCTCCAGTCCTCTCAAATCTCACTTTTGTTTGTTTGGTTTTTTAAGACAGAGTTTCACTGTGTAATCCTGGCTGTACTGAAACTAGTTCTGTAGACCAGGCTGGCCTCGAACGTACAGAGATCCACCTGCCTCTGCTTCTTGAGTATTGGGATTAAAGGGATGTACCACTATGCCCAGCTTCAAACTCTCTCTTCCTTTTTCCCCCCTTTTGGTTTTTGGAAACAGAGCCTGTCCTGGAACTAGCTATTGTAGACCAGGCTGGCCTCAAACTCAGAGATCCGCCTGCCTCTGCCTCCGCCTCCAGAATGCTGAGATTAAAGGCATGCACCACCAATGCCCAGCTCTCACTCTTCTTTCTATTATGTATACAAGGTTCTGTCTACATGTATGCCATAAGAGGGCACCATCTTATCATAGATGGCTGTGAGCCACCATGTGGGTTCTGAGACTTGAACTCAGGACCTCTAGAAGAGCAGCCCCAACCTCTGAGTCATCTCTCAGGCCCCAAATCTTACTTTCTGATCCCACAATGTTTTTCTTTTTTCTTACTTTTAAACCTTTCCTTACCAAACATCTAGCAGAATAGGTCCATCGCCACTGCTCACTTTAAGATCACACAGAAAGAAGATGCTTAAAATGAGACCAAACCAGAGTCTTCTGAAGCAACTCTGAAGAGTTTCCTAGCCCACTGCAAAGCTGACAGGTTACTTTGCATCCACCCAGAAGCTCTCCACTCAACACCCAAAGATGCACCTTACCTAGTGCTGTTTATAGCCCCGTATTTTTCTCCTCTAAAGCAGGATTATCTGAAATCATGCTGTATGTGTTTCTTGACTGTCCATTTTTGTTTTACAAAGCTGCACACTCTGAATGCACACTGACTCTGGAGTGTTGCGGGAGGTCCTTCCGCCCCTCCAACCAATAGCTGCTGTGATACCAGCCCATTGGGGCGTGGTCTCTCTCCCTTTAAAAAAGCGGCTATTTCCTCTGCTCGCTCTCTTCACTTCCTGCTCCGCCGGAGACTAGACTCCCTTCCTGGTTGTGCAGATGGCTGTTGTCTGGGACGGTGATCTGTAAGTTTTCCCCTTTAAATAAATAACACCCTATTAATCATAACTCCAAACTGGTGTGGCCTTGTTCGTGACTTACGCCTTCACTGGAGCAGCATAAAGGCTGCCGTGTCAACACTTTTAGCGTTTTCTCTATTTTCTCCTAAACCTTGCCAAAGAAACTACCCAGCTTGGGTTTCTCTCTCTAACTGTTCTTTGCTGACCTTAGGGTTGGTTCCACTGCAGATCTCCTATCCTTCAGATCTCGACTCAAAAACCATCTCTTCAAGGGAGACTATATTAGGTCAGTTTGCCCAAAACCATCCTAGTTTGTGCCCCTTGTTCCTGTCTTAGTAACAGTGCCCTCTATACTGCACACCCAGTATACATACTCTATACAACACAAAGAGTCAGTCTAGATAACAAATTCCGTGCACACTTTTCTTGAGTCAGGATCTCCTCATATATACAGCTTGGAGTGGTTTGGAACTCATGATCCCCCTGCCTCAGCCTCATAAATGCTAGGATGAGAACTGTGAACTGTGAGAGCCGAAGTTCCTGGGGGCTGGAGGATTCTATGTTGAAGATTGTCCAGACTGATGAAAATATCGTGACTGTGCAGAGCTAGAATGTTACAGGTTGACAGCCAAAGCGACCTTGGACCTTCGGTCCTTTCACTAGCCCTTTATCACTAGCTAGGGTAACTGACCTAACTTCTGACTATTAGGTAGAGCCCTAGGAATAGATTCTTAGCAGACCTCTAGCTTCCACCAACCCGAAGGCTAAGAATGCTATCAAAAAGCATCTGAGTGCTACAGCAGTGCTCTCCTGGCTTTGCTGAAACCTGCCCACCTGCTGTCCCCACCCACGTGTGTTGTAAAGGCAGTAATGTATTTTGTTCTGTTCATGGAGTTCATGCACCCTCCACAGCACAACCCATCATTCTAGACAACCCAATTCTGTGTTCCCAGGTCATGCTTGCTCGTGAGCCTTAGAATACTTTCTTGTTATTCCCTCTTGGGAAAGAGTTGTGCTTTGTGTTGCTAGCCACTGCCTGCCTGACTCATCTTAAAGTGACTCCAGAAAACAAACCCTACTGGTTCATTAACAACAATCATAGTCTACTCCTCTTGTGCTGCTTTTCACAATTCAAAAACAAATTTTTTTTGTTGTTTTTCACTGGGTTTCTGTGTAGCCGTGGCTGTCCTGGAACTCACTTTGTAGACCAAACTGGCCATGAATTCAGAGATCCACCTGCCTCTGCCTCCTGAGTGCTGGAATTAAGAGAGTGCACCACCTGTGAACCAGCTTCAACGTATTTTCTAGATGACTTATCCCTTCTTAACACATATCCCACTCCTTAAGAACAGGCCAGTCACGGTCTGCACAGCATTTAGAGCAGCAAGTACCTCACATTCTGCAGGTACCCAGACTGTGGAATCAGAGGCTAGCAGAGGGCCACACCTTGTCTCTGGCATTCCTTCTTCCAAGCAAAAAGAAGGGTTCCAGATTCTTCTGAATCAGCCTCTATTCATTAAGACCTGGGCAATACAAAGGTGAGCATTCTCATGATGCAGTTAACTGACCATCTTAGTCTGCACTGAACTACTTTGTGTTCATTACTCTAGGGACAAACCCTGGGCTCTCCTTCCACAGATTCACAGACCATGAGTATTTAAATAAATACTCCAAACATGAAGCGGGGATTGAGAGGGCTGAAAGTATGGCAGCAAACCATGTTACATCCATCTGAACATCGCAGAATCCTGTGTTGCCTAATTGTAGCTTTCAGTGATCAGATAACTAATTGTTAGATATACAACCTTCATATAAATTAAATGTGGCCCTATATGTGTGTGTGAATGCACACCTATCGACGTATGTATACGGTGTCATATATTAATACATGTGTGTATACTTGTGCATTGTGAGGCTGTCCAAAAACATCTCATTTTTCTCATGGAAGAAAGACTTGAAAAAGAATTCATAATAAAATAATAAATAAGTTTCTGAAATAGCTCCTACTTTCAACATGTGACATTTTGAATTATTAATTTTATGTATTATATTAAATATAACCTTTCAAATACCTTATAAAAGAAAACCTCAAGCTTTAAACCACAAGGCTATACAAATACAAAACGTTACTTAAATACTTTAAAGCCATCTGCCCACAAGATTTAAAGGACCCTGTAAACAGCACATTCTAGAATAACAGACAAACTTGAAAGTTATCTCAACACTACCAAACTAGGACAAAACTGAGTATAAGAACAGATAAATAAGTAAAGACTAATGGCAAATCAGTGACTAAATATCTGCTCATATACAGAAAATTCAAGCAAATAACTTGATATTAGTCTTATCTTTCCTTATTCACTTGTAATATATTTTAGAATATTTATCAGAAAATGTAAAATATGAGTCTTTTAAAGTTTCAAATTATTTCAAATCCATCCCTAAACTTACAACTTTCCTCTAAGGACAACCAAGTGCAAAATTAACAATCAAGAAACTGATATCTGCTAATAAAATACCTAACTAGTTAAGAGTCAGTTCATGACAGAATCAGACACTTGATTACATTTCCTGTTTATTCTGTACCGAATTTCAAATTCCTATATGCCAATGTCTGAAGCTCCAGGAGTTGTTTGTTTTTTGTTTGGCTGGTTTGTTTTTAAGACACTGAGTTTCAGATAGCCCAGGCTATCTTCAAACTCACAAAGATGAAGATGACCTTTAATTTCTAATCCTCTCCACTTCCCAAGGAATTTCACTATTTACCACTAAGCCTAGTCTGAGGTGTTTTTAAATTACTGAACATAGTTTGTTCTTGTCTAGGTGTACTATGTTACTAAGGTGTTTTTAAATTACTGAACGTAGTTTGTTCTTGTCTAGGTGTACTATGTTGAACTGATTCATCATTTACCACCTTTTTTTAAGTGTTTTTCAAGAGAAGGTCTCACTATGTAGTCTGGGTGTCTTGGAACTCACTATGTAGACCAGGTTGGCCTCGAACTCATAAAGTTTCCACCTGCCTCTATTCCCCATTTTGGTATTAAAGGTATGTGCCAGGTGCCAGTACGCCTGGCTATCATTTACTATCTTATATTAAATACTAGGTTCAGCATATTTTATCTGAAATGTTTGGGTCTTTACAATGTAATCTTTGCCAGTTGAGTATCCCTTTACGTAAAATCTGAAATAAAAAATATCTCTAAGTCTAAAACTGAATTATACAATAAAATGTTTTAAATTCTGAAATACTTAGTATTTCAGAATATTTCAAATTTCAGACTTTCAATTTAGGATTATTCAACCTGTATTTTACAAAGTTATTCTGTATTTGTCTCCCCTCCTCACACGACTTACAGCAGACAAACCCTTCTAGTCTGTAATAACCTGTGCTGGCTGTCCCTCAGGAAGATCTGGAGAGCCCCAATTCTTCACCACTGAGCTTCTCGGTCTCCAGGAACTCTCTTTTACAAGCACCAATGCTAATGACTATAAACCTGCATCACTAACAGGGACCATTTCACCATGACTCCTACCTCTTTTCAAATTGGTTACCATGCTTCAGAAGTAAGACAAAGGTCTCTTCCTAGGTCTACCAATGTCGTAAAAACCAAGTGTGGGTTTCCCTAAGTGTTTTGTCTCCCAGTAAGCAAATGTGGGAGTCAGAGAACAAGTGAAGTGGCCAGGTAGAATTTAAGGAAATGAAAATGTAGATGTACTCCTATACTGTATGAAAACTCTATACATTGAATTTATATTATTGATTTAAAATAGTTTCTGGGAGGATTCAGAAACTTCACACTATAGCCCAACCCAAACTAAAATTACACAAATTAAAAGTGAACTGAGGTGTTTTCTTGGAAATCCTTCCAACGATGTTAGACGCAAAGCTGACCCCCACCATTAGCTCAGCAAATAGAGCCACATCTCCATTAAGAGCACACTACCATGATGGGAACTGTAGGGGATGTGGAGCACATATTCACACAAATATCCTTACCTTCAGCTGAAATCCAGTCTCATTCACAGTCTCCTTCCAGTTACCTTCCTAAAAGTCAAAGTCAGTTTCAGAGATCATTACTGCAAAGCCTAACAACCAACACATAATGTTCCTCATGAAATAAACTGAGTATCTACCATTCTGTTCTTAATTCAAGTTATACGAGAGACCATTTTCTTTACTTCAAAACTACAAATTCAATGCAAACTCCAAAAGTGTGAAAAACATCCAAGATTTTAGACATCTGGCCTCCTAACACTGAAGATTTTTAAGTTTTCATTTAGGTAATTCTAAAAGACATAAAGTTTTAGTATTTTTTTTTTAAAGATTTATTTATTTCTTATGTATACAACATTCTGCCTCCATGTATGCCCGCACACCAGAAGAGGGCGCCAGATCTCATTACAGATGGTTGTGAGCCACCATGTGGTTGCTGGGAATTAAACTCAGAACCTCTGGAAGAGCAGCCAGTGCTCTTAACCACTGAGCCATCTCTCCAGCCCAGTTTTAGTATCTTTTTTTTTTAAATTTATTTATTTATTAAAGATTTCTGCTTCCTCCCCGCCACCGCCAATTCCCAGAATTACTGGAACGGTGGAAGGAGGGACTGACTCCACAAAGCTGTCCTCTGACCTCCACATGTGCCATGGCAGGTGTACCCCTCCCCCATGTCACACTCCAGAGAACATAATTAAAAAAAAAAATCTCAGCTAATGACAGAATCTAATAGCCCAAAATTCAAACTAACCAATAAACTGCCTACCAAAAGCTAACTCAAGAGTCAAGAATCAGCATTTTCTAGTTTTTTTAAAAGTCTAACTCAAATATTTTTTTAAAAGACTAATTAAAAGAAGAATACCTGTGTTAAAAACAAATAGAAGATTTTGTCTCTACAAAGGACAGGATGTGAAGCAACCCTCAAGAGAAAGTTTTCTAAGCCTATCCGTCGTCTCTCCACAAAGTCTGGATCCATGTTGTCAGCAGAGAGTTTGTGCCACACGAACTCTGCCTGGGGAAACAAGGCAACCATTAGGAACAGGCTCAACCACAGGTAAGTACAGCTCTTACCCTCGGTCTTAGCTAGGATTATACTGCATTGACAAAACGCCATGACTAAGCAAGGTGTGAGAGAAGTTTATCTGGCTTACACTTCCATATCATTGTTCATCATCAAAGCAAGTCAGAACAGGATCCTGGAGGCAGGAGCTGATACAGAGGTTTGGAGGGGTGCTGCTCACTGGCTTGCTCCTCATGGCTGGCTGCTCAGCCTGCCTTCATACAGAACCCAGGACCACCAGCCCAGGGTAGCACCACTCACAATGGGTTGGGCCTCCCATCTCAATCCCACATCAATCACTAGTTACGAAAATGTCCCACAGGCTCGTGTGCTTACAGCTCAATCTTCTAGAAGCTTTTTCTCAACTGACACTTCCTCCTCTCAAATGACTCTAGCTTGACATAGCTGACATCAAACCATACAGCATACACTTAGAAATTTCTCTTTACAACAGAAGGAGACCACTAAAGAAAACCACAATGCAGAGAACAAGTGATCCTGTGGTGCCCGGCCAACTGATGCATCTACGACACAGCTCCCGCACCCAAAGCTCAGGGGACATCTGGGAGAGGGAGCAGAAAGACTGTGAGAGCTAGAGGAATAGGAAGTCTCTGTGAGATTATGTCTCCTGGGAATGACAGGAAAGCTATACCTATGAACATGTCTGCCTAAACAAGACCTGCACAAGGGTAACACTAACATATATGCTAGCATGGAAAGAGGCCTCTTATGGGGCCTCAACCCGAGACAAAGACTCTAGGCAATTAGTGAATGCGAAAAGTAAAAGAAATAGCCCCTTTCGTGGAAGGTTGACTAGATGGTCAACCCCAAAATCATAAACACACAAGTAACATTATACATACTGAGCAAGTTCCAAGACAGGGCTACAGAGAAACCCTATCTTGAAAAGCAGAAACAAAAAAGAAAGAAAACAAATAAATGAATGGGGTCAATTCCAGGCACTTCTCAACTCCCACGGCTCTGTCTTACCCGCTTTTCAGGAAGAGGTGGCACAACAATATGCGGGTAGTACACTAGAAGGTAGTTTCTCAACAGCTCAAACTCGCTGTAGCGCCTCCACAGTGAGTCTGTGAGGACGCTCTGACCGTCAGCATGTCCAACTGACCTGAAAAGGAATCAAAGGCATCTATTACTCCAAAACTGAACACATGATGCCAACTCCTTCAAAACCTTACAACTCCAGGAAACAGATTTCCTGTGCCCATTTTACAGATGAGGATGCAGCTGTGCTCGGCTACAAATGCACACTCTGTGTGTTGTGCGCTCAGATTCAAAGCTCTCACCCGAGTACTTTCCTTCTGTTATGGAAAACCCATCTGAACTCATGAGAAATAGCTATATGGGAACATCCTAAAAGCTGCAGTGTACAATTGGTTTTACAATATTTGTTACATAAAAGGCACTTGTAACTTTACTACTGCCACAATGAGGGGACAACTTCATGACAAAGACCCAGATACCACAAAGTCTGGGTTCAGTGTATGAGTCAATCCAACAGACCTGAATACCAGGAGACCCACAAGAACAAAGTTAGCTCTGGAAGGGCAAGGAAGAAAGATCACAACTCACGTCTCTTCCCTTACAGAGCTGGCAGGCACCTCATGTTTTACCTACAGAAAAGTCCAAACTGCACTTAGAAGGAAGTTAGGGAAAGAGCGTGTGAAGGCTATTTTAAAGCACTCAAGATTTCTGCTGCCATCATGAATGCAGGGTTTTGACTTTGTTGTTCTTTAGGATGGGGTCTTTCTTACTATGCAGTTCTTATTGGCCTGAAACTTGCTGTGTAGACCAGGCTGGTCTGGAACTAACACAGAGATCCACCTGCTTCAGCCTCTAAGTGCAAAGAGAAAGGAGTGTGCCTCCATGCCCAGCTGCAGAGAAATTTGAAACATTATCAAACCTCCTTATTTTCCAATTATTCACTTGACAATAACTTATTTGTCCTCCAAGAAATGAACAAATGATCACGATGTGTATTTGTCCATCAAGACCTAGTGACCGAGAAGCTAAAGTAGTCCTGGAGCAGTCATTAGAGAGGCTCAGCGCAGCAGCTACTTCTCTGTAAGTTTGTTTTGGTTTTCAGGTGGGTTTTACCAGGCTGGCCTAGCTGGCCTCAAACTCATACATTTGAGAGATCCTTCTGGATGGACTGGCAGCCTACCAGGCCCAGTTGGGGGGGAGGGGCAGGGAGAGAGGAAAGGTATTAATTTTCCTGCCTTAGCCTCCTGAGTAACTAGATTTACAATACACTACTGTTCTTTTTAAAAAGATTTATTTTATTATTCTTAATTATGTGTGTCTTTGTGTGTGTATGGCACACGAGTGCAGGGGTCCTCGGAGGCCAAGGTGTTAGATTCTGGAGCTAGAGTTACAGGCAATTGTAGATGCCTGATGTGGGTGCTGGTAATTTTAGGTCCTCTGCAAGAGCAGTTTATGCTCTTAACCATGAAGCCATCTCTCTAGCCACTATACTTGGCAATTATTGTTTTCATCATTATTCTTTTGAGACAGGGTTTTACTATATAGCCCGGGTCTTAGTGCTGGAATTACAGTTGTGCACTGCCACGCCCTACATGTAAGTAGTAAATGTGCACACCAGGCTGGGCATAGTGCACAGACGCAGGTCAGGAGGCAGGTGAACCTCTGTGAATTCCAAGACAGTCAGGGCTACATAGAGACCCTGTCCCCCCAAAAAAACAACAAATAAATAAATAAATAAAACAAATATATTAAGCTTACACTAAGGTTATTAATTATACATTAATAAAAGGAAATACAATATGAAATATAAAACACAAGAATATTAATCACAGTCTAGTTTGGAGAGGCATTAAATCAACTATGTATAAAACAGCTTCCAGGGGCTGGAGAGATGGCTCAGTGGTTAAGAGCACTGCCTGCTCTTCCAAAGGTCCTGAGTTCAATTCCCAGCAACCACATGGTGGCTCACAACCATCTGTAAGGAGATCTGGTGCCCTCTTCTGGCCTGCAGGCATACATGCAAACAGAATACTGACAATACTGTATACATAATAAATAAATAAATCTTTAAAAAAAAATAAATAAAATAAATAAATAAAACAGCTTCCAGTTCAGATTCCCAACTTCAACATGAAATAATAATCTTATCCTAACTTACAAATGTTTTCCTTGGCCTTGTCTCCCAACTAGAAGAATAACATACTGCTTCCCCAAACATTCCTACATGCTCTAGAAGACAAATCTCCATCCTTTTATCTTGAAACAATATCCTATCACAAGAAAACACACCCCAGCAGCTGAAGGAATGCAGACATTCAACCCCACTCATAGACAATAGCTGCCAGAAAAACCTCTCCACCTAAAGGTAGGCCCAATCCTGGCAACCTACCGTGTCTCAATGAGGTAAGCAGTGTACGTTTCTTGCATGTTCATGGCGTTTCTTCCAGTTCTCTTTTCTGCTTCAGAAACACTGATTTCTATTTTCTTCAACCAAAAATTATTTCCCGTCATCTGGACAAAAATAAATGGAACAATAAAAGCCCTTTAGATGGTATTGATACATGAGGATGATGGGGGGGGAATACGAACAAAGGATACTATAATCATGCATGACAATATAACAAAACCCATTATTTTATGTAATTAACATATGCTAGTGAAAATGGTATTGGAAAACTCATAGGCATACTAATAAAATCCAGCACTGGTAAATATTTCCAGAAGGTTTGGGGGCTGGGACAACAGCTCAACAGGTAAAGTGCTTGCCATGCAGGCATGAGGACTTGAGTTTGAATCCCCATGTCCTCTGTAAAAGTTAGATGAGCAGCATGCACCTGTAACTCCAATGCTCCTATGGCACCACAGGAGGCAGTGACAGGAGACCCATCTCAGTAAGGTAGGAGAGGATGGCAACCAAGGCTATATACTCTAACCTTCATACACATGCGCAGCACACAAACACACATAAATATATTTTCTAAGTTATTATGGGTTACTAAATAATAACAGCAAGTGACAACCTCTTTTATCAACATACTACAGTACCTCAATTTCTTGAAAGATATTTTAATAGGTACCATACATTTAATTATTATAATTCCAACATTCCACGTAAGCAACCAAGGATAAAGCTATAAAGGAATATATAAGAAAAAGCCTTCAGATGGGATGCAGCTAAGGGCTAGAGCCCTGCCTACTATGTTTGAGGCTCTCTCTGAGTTCAAGTTTCATCATTGCAATAATAAAAAACCTTAGGCTATTGCCACACCAACTCCAGTGTCGTCTGTGTGACATGACATATGTCATTATGCCGGACGGGAGCTACATGTCCCATGGGACTAGGCTTCCTGGAGGTCAATGGCAGACAGCCTGGTATTAGCCACAGCTGAGGCATAGACGGGTTTCTCGATTAGCTGGCTATACGGGATATGAGCTTTGCACAATCTCTTTTATAATAATGATTGTCTTTATATATACAAGACAAGGATCATTCTCTTCAGGAACAGCTCTGGGATAAGGAAGCACAGTATGGGAATGTATAAGACTACAGCAGAACCTTTGTTATACACAGGGTGTATGATGAGCAAGGGAATAGATGGGTTAATGTTGATGGACAAAGACTGTTATATTATACTTTCAACTTTATGGATAGGCTTGCTAGATCCCAACCCCCATGATGTCTGCTGCAAAGAAGGTACTAAAAAGCATAGTTCAACAGGTGCAGAGAACTGATTAGGTATATTTGGTCACTAGATGAAATAAAGGGTTAGGAAGAGGCCATGATAGCGATAATGAGACAGAAACTTTCTGTTCATAAGATGAAACCACTTGCCTGAGGTTTACAGTCCCAAGGACAAGATTTCCTCTAAGGATGCTTTATGTCTAACACCTGTTCCTGATAATATACTTTTCTTAAATATTGCTGATGTGACTAAAAGAAGCTTTCATACTGTGCCAACCAACACATGACCTTCTGATTTGTTCTTTGAATACTATATAATGAAAACATGAATTCAGTAAAATTGCAGCAGATTCCAAGCACTCCCTTGTGTGTTGTGTCTGTCATTCGCCAAACTTGTGCCTTCCTTGTTACCAAGACCCTGCTTCTCCCGCGGTCTGAGTGACTCCCCTGAGCCGGTCCGTAGCAGGCTATATTACAAGCAGAGGATTCTGGGAAGAGTACCTGGCGCATTATCAAGTACCAAGTATCTACTAACCCATCGAGACAACACAGATTTTGTATTTAAAAATATTTTTTGCAAGGGTTGAGGATTTAGCTTAGTGGTGAACCCTTGTCTAACAAGTGGGGTTTGTCCTGTCTTAGTTAGGGTTATTATTGCTATGATAAAACACCATGACCAAAAGCATGCTGGGGAGGAAAAGATTTATTTTGCCTACACTTCCACATCACAGCTCAACAAAGGTCAGAACAGGAACTCAAACAGGGAAGGAACATGGAGGCAGGAGCTGATGCAGAGGCCATGGAGGAGTGTTGCTTGCTGGCTTGCTCCACATGGCTTGTTCAGCTTGCTTTCTTATAGAACTCAGGACCATCAACCCAGGAATGGCACTTCCCACAAGGGACTGGACCCTTCCCCATCAATCACTAATTTCAAAATTTGCCCTATAGGCTTGCCTATAGCTCAATCTTCTGAAGGCATTTTCTCTTTGTTAAGCATAATTTTTTTTTTTGTTTTATTTTTGGTTTTTTGAGACAGGGTTTCTCTGTGGCTTTGGAGCCTGTCCTGGAACTAGCTCTGTAGACCAGGCTGGTCTCGAACTCACAGAGATCCGCCTGCCTCTGCCTCCTGAGTGCTGGGATTAAAGGCATGCGCCACCATCGCCCGGCCTTAAGCATAATTTTTTTATTGACTTTGGGAATTTCATATTATGCACCCCAATCCCAGTTACTCCTCATCTGCCCCCTCACTCCCATAGCATCCTCACCAAAAGAAAATTTAAAAAATATTAAAGGGGCTGGAGAGAAGGCTCAGTGGTTAAGAGCATTGGCTTTCTTCCTGAGGACCCAGGTTCAATTCCTAGCACCTACATGGCAGCTCACAACTGTCTATTACTCCAGTTCCAGAGGATCTGATACCTTCATACTAATGCACACAAAATAAAGTTAAATAAATTAAAAAAATATTGGGGCTGGAGAGATGGCTCAGAGGTTAAGGACACTGACTGTTCTTCCAGGGGTCCTGAGTTCAATTCCCAGCAACCACATTGTGGCTCACAACCATCTAAAATGAGATCTGGTGCCCTCTTCTGGCATGCAGGCATACATGGCGGCAGAACACTGTATTGTATATGTAATAAAATCTTCAAAAAAAATTAAAAAAATATTAACTAAAAACAAAATAAAATAAAACAAACAAAAAAAACCACTTCACTCCCGTCTTTCCTTTGTCTTACGGCACTGGGAGTTGTGGTACATCACACCGTGTGCCCTTTGGTCCACTCAGCTTTACTTGCAAGTGTTCTTTTAGTTGTTGGGTCTAGTTCAAGGTCTCTGGCTTCTGGGACATCAATACTGGACCCTCACCAAAACTCCTCGCCAATATCCTGCTGTTGCCCCAGTGATGGAGGTGCTGCAGCTACGGTTCAAAGAACCAGTCTGTTCATGTATTCTGGCAGAACAGATGGGGTAGATTCTGGGGTGGGCTGATTTGGTCAGTTTTTGCCCCTCAGGCAAGGGGCAGAGCCAGCTCTTCTACACCCATGCCATCAGGGCCAGCTCTCCAGCCCTCTATCCCTGTGGAGAGGGGTGGAGCTCTCTATCCTGAATGTGGGACCAGCTCTCCCAGAAGGGGCAGGGCCAGCTCTCTCAGCATAGCCCTTGGATTTCAACATTTATGGTTCCTATGACCCCCTGTGGTAACATAGGCCATGAAGATAATAAACAGACCCCAGCTGCAGCAGGACCATGGACCCCAAAATGGTCCTCAGCAGCAGCTTGGGTCCAGATGTCACTATGGCCCTGGTAACTACACAGGCCACCCAGATGAGTGTGGCCCCAGTGGCAGCATGGCCCTTGGACACCAACATGGTCTCAGGTGGCTGACCAGACCCTGGGTGTCCACATGGCCTTCGGTGGTAACAGAAGCCATGGACATCACTCAAACACTGCCTGGTATAGGACCACAGACCCAGACATGACCCTCAGCAGTAGTTACAGTGCAAACTGCAAATGTCACCATGATCCAGGGTGGCAACACAGGCCACTCAGGTCAGCATGGCCCCAGCAGCAGTGTGCGTAGCCCCAGGTATCTGCCCAGACCCTGACGGCATTTTCTTGGTTGAGGTTCCCTTCCTTTGAAATGACTCTGGCTTGCTTCAAGTTGATGTAAGAACTAGCAGTCACAAATCCTTAACTAAAAAAAAGAAGTCACAAAAAACAAACAACTTCACAAACAAACAAGGCTAGTAGCATACGCAACCTTTCCAGGCTAGCCAGGACTACACAGTGGGACCTGTCTTAAGATACAAACAAAACAGAACAAGAAACAAACCAGTGAGCTCCAGGATCAATAGACCCTGTGCAAAGGGAGTAACGAGGAGAGGAAGGAGAGAGGGACTGCACTTTCATATGCAGGCACAGGACACCTGACGTTCTCCTTAGATTCGGTGCACACCGGGGCAAACACTGACTCCCCCAAAAAAGCAGATCTTTTATGGAAAGGCAGCAGGGAAGGGGTATATATTAGGAAAAAAATAAAGATACACAAATGTAAAAATACCATAATGAAACTCAGTATTTTGTGCATTTGTTAAAAGTAACACATAAGAAGAGATTTTTAAAAAGCCGCACAGGTTGGGGTGATGACTCAGTCCGTAAAGTGCCTGCGTTTGCATCCCCAGCACTCACAATTAAAACACTTTCAATTCCAGAACTGAGGAAGAGGCAGCAGGAGGATCTCTGTGGTTTGCTAACTAGCCAGCCTAGCCAAATCTGCTATCTCTAGGTGAGTGAGAAACACTGTCTGAAAAAGCAGGTAGAGAGTGATCCAGGAAGAGACCTAATGTCAACCTCCGGCACCCACAGGAATGCACATACACACGAACACACATAAAAATGCGACAGTAAAAGCAATAGTTACAGAGAAAATCAAACTTATGTATGACAGTACCAAAAATGGAATCAATGATGAAAAATAGATAATATATTTAGGAAGCGCTCCCAAGAAAAATGCAGAAAGTGATGTATATTTATACACACAAGAGAAAATAAGAGAGACAGAAGACATCAGAGGAGAGCTCAAAGAATTACCTAAGTTGGTGGATATCAGCATGATAAAGGTCACACTGGCTGAGATAACCATACAGCTCTTGGCCTACAGCCTGCTTTTTGATTTATCACCATCTGCTTCAGTGAAAATTCTCTGAATTCTAAAAGCACATAACTGTACTGATAAATCACCTTCTCAGCCCAAAAGATAACACATTAATCATGATTTCAGCCTGTCATACTATCTAGTAATAACAAGCACAAAATTTTTAAAAAAGCATTA